CGATAACTATAACGATAACTATATTAGTGTTCACACCAGCGGACGATAACTATAACGATAACTATATTAGTGTTCACACCAGCGGACGATAACTATAACGATAACTATATTAGTGTTCACACCAGCGGACGATAACTATAACGATAACTATATTAGTGTTCACACCAGCGGACGATAACTATAACGATAACTATATTAGTGTTCACACCAGCGGACGATAACTATAACGATAACTATATTAGTGTCCACACCAGCGGACGATAACTATAACGATAACTATATTAGTGTTCACACCAGCGGACGATAACTATAACGATAACTATATTAGTGTTCACACCAGCGGACGATAACTATAACGATAACTATATTAGTGTTCACACCAGCGGACGATAACTATAACGATAACTATATTAGTGTTCACACCAGCGGACGATAACTATAACGATAACTATATTAGTGTTCACACCAGCGGACGATAACTATAACGATAACTATATTAGTGTTCACACCAGCGGACGATAACTATAACGATAACTATATTAGTGTTCACACCAGCGGACGATAACTATAACGATAACTATATTAGTGTTCACACCAGCGGACGATAACTATAACGATAACTATATTAGTGTTCACACCAGCGGACGATAACTATAACGATAACTATATTAGTGTCCACACCAGCGGACGATAACTATAACGATAACTATATTAGTGTTCACACCAGCGGACGATAACTATAACGATAACTATATTAGTGTTCACACCAGCGGACGATAACTATAACGATAACTATATTAGTGTCCACACCAGCGGACGATAACTATAACGATAACTATATTAGTGTTCACACCAGCGGACGATAACTATAACGATAACTATATTAGTGTCCACACCAGCGGACGATAACTATAACGATAACTATATTAGTGTTCACACCAGCGGACGATAACTATAACGATAACTATATTAGTGTTCACACCAGCGGACGATAACTATAACGATAACTATATTAGTGTTCACACCAGCGGACGATAACTATAACGATAACTATATTAGTGTTCACACCAGCGGACGATAACTATAACGATAACTATATTAGTGTTCACACCAGCGGACGATAACTATAACGATAACTATATTAGTGTTCACACCAGCGGACGATAACTATAACGATAACTATATTAGTGTCCACACCAGCGGACGATAACTATAACGATAACTATATTAGTGTTCACACCAGCGGACGATAACTATAACGATAACTATATTAGTGTCCACACCAGCGGACGATAACTATAACGATAACTATATTAGTGTTCACACCAGCGGACGATAACTATAACGATAACTATATTAGTGTCCACACCAGCGGACGATAACTATAACGATAACTATATTAGTGTTCACACCAGCGGACGATAACTATAACGATAACTATATTAGTGTTCACACCAGCGGACGATAACTATAACGATAACTATATTAGTGTTCACACCAGCGGACGATAACTATAACGATAACTATATTAGTGTTCACACCAGCGGACGATAACTATAACGATAACTATATTAGTGTCCACACCAGCGGACGATAACTATAACGATAACTATATTAGTGTCCACACCAGCGGACGATAACTATAACGATAACTATATTAGTGTCCACACCAGCGGACGATAACTATAACGATAACTATATTAGTGTCCACACCAGCGGACGATAACTATAACGATAACTATATTAGTGTTCACACCAGCGGACGATAACTATAACGATAACTATATTAGTGTTCACACCAGCGGACGATAACTATAACGATAACTATATTAGTGTTCACACCAGCGGACGATAACTATAACGATAACTATATTAGTGTTCACACCAGCGGACGATAACTATAACGATAACTATATTAGTGTTCACACCAGCGGACGATAACTATAACGATAACTATATTAGTGTTCACACCAGCGGACGATAACTATAACGATAACTATATTAGTGTTCACACCAGCGGACGATAACTATAACGATAACTATATTAGTGTTCACACCAGCGGACGATAACTATAACGATAACTATATTAGTGTTCACACCAGCGGACGATAACTATAACGATAACTATATTAGTGTTCACACCAGCGGACGATAACTATAACGATAACTATATTAGTGTTCACACCAGCGGACGATAACTATAACGATAACTATATTAGTGTTCACACCAGCGGACGATAACTATAACGATAACTATATTAGTGTTCACACCAGCGGACGATAACTATAACGATAACTATATTAGTGTTCACACCAGCGGACGATAACTATAACGATAACTATATTAGTGTTCACACCAGCGGACGATAACTATAACGATAACTATATTAGTGTCCACACCAGCGGACGATAACTATAACGATAACTATATTAGTGTTCACACCAGCGGACGATAACTATAACGATAACTATATTAGTGTTCACACCAGCGGACGATAACTATAACGATAACTATATTAGTGTCCACACCAGCGGACGATAACTATAACGATAACTATATTAGTGTTCACACCAGCGGACGATAACTATAACGATAACTATATTAGTGTTCACACCAGCGGACGATAACTATAACGATAACTATATTAGTGTTCACACCAGCGGACGATAACTATAACGATAACTATATTAGTGTTCACACCAGCGGACGATAACTATAACGATAACTATATTAGTGTTCACACCAGCGGACGATAACTATAACGATAACTATATTAGTGTTCACACCAGCGGACGATAACTATAACGATAACTATATTAGTGTTCACACCAGCGGACGATAACTATAACGATAACTATATTAGTGTTCACACCAGCGGACGATAACTATAACGATAACTATATTAGTGTTCACACCAGCGGACGATAACTATAACGATAACTATATTAGTGTTCACACCAGCGGACGATAACTATAACGATAACTATATTAGTGTCCACACCAGCGGACGATAACTATAACGATAACTATATTAGTGTTCACACCAGCGGACGATAACTATAACGATAACTATATTAGTGTTCACACCAGCGGACGATAACTATAACGATAACTATATTAGTGTTCACACCAGCGGACGATAACTATAACGATAACTATATTAGTGTCCACACCAGCGGACGATAACTATAACGATAACTATATTAGTGTTCACACCAGCGGACGATAACTATAACGATAACTATATTAGTGTTCACACCAGCGGACGATAACTATAACGATAACTATATTAGTGTCCACACCAGCGGACGATAACTATAACGATAACTATATTAGTGTTCACACCAGCGGACGATAACTATAACGATAACTATATTAGTGTCCACACCAGCGGACGATAACTATAACGATAACTATATTAGTGTCCACACCAGCGGACGATAACTATAACGATAACTATATTAGTGTCCACACCAGCGGACGATAACTATAACGATAACTATATTAGTGTCCACACCAGCGGACGATAACTATAACGATAACTATATTAGTGTTCACACCAGCGGACGATAACTATAACGATAACTATATTAGTGTTCACACCAGCGGACGATAACTATAACGATAACTATATTAGTGTTCACACCAGCGGACGATAACTATAACGATAACTATATTAGCGTTCACACCAGCGGACGATAACTATAACGATAACTATATTAGTGTTCACACCAGCGGACGATAACTATAACGATAACTGTATTAGCGTTCACACCAGCGGACGATAACTATAACGATAACTATATTAGCGTTCTCACCAGCGGACGATAACTATAACGATAACTATATTAGTGTTCACACCAGCAGACGATAACTATAACGATAACTATATTAGCGTTCACACCAGCGGACGATAACTATAACGATAACTATATTAGCGTTCACACCAGCGGACGATAACTATAACGATAACTATATTAGTGTTCACACCAGCGGACGATAACTATAACGATAACTATATTAGTGTTCACACGCAGCGGACGATAACTATAACGATAACTATATTAGTGTTCACACCAGCGGACGATAACTATAACGATAACTATATTAGTGTTCACACCAGCGGACGATAACTATAACGATAACTATATTAGTGTCCACACCAGCGGACGATAACTATAACGATAACTATATTAGTGTTCACACCAGCGGACGATAACTATAACGATAACTATATTAGTGTTCACACCAGCGGACGATAACTATAACGATAACTATATTAGTGTTCACACCAGCGGACGATAACTATAACGATAACTATATTAGTGTTCACACCAGCGGACGATAACTATAACGATAACTATATTAGTGTTCACACCAGCGGACGATAACTATAACGATAACTATATTAGTGTTCACGCCAGCGGACGATAACTATAACGATAACTATATTAGTGTCCACACCAGCGGACGATAACTATAACGATAACTATATTAGTGTTCACACCAGCGGACGATAACTATAACGATAACTATATTAGTGTTCACACCAGCGGACGATAACTATAACGATAACTATATTAGTGTTCACGCCAGCGGACGATAACTATAACGATAACTATATTAGTGTTCACGCCAGCGGACGATAACTATAACGATAACTATATTAGTGTTCACACCAGCGGACGATAACTATAACGATAACTATATTAGTGTTCACACCAGCGGACGATAACTATAACGATAACTATATTAGTGTTCACACCAGCGGACGATAACTATAACGATAACTATATTAGTGTTCACACCAGCGGACGATAACTATAACGATAACTATATTAGCGTTCACACCAGCGGACGATAACTATAACGATAACTATATTAGTGTTCACACCAGCGGACGATAACTATAACGATAACTATATTAGTGTTCACGCCAGCGGACGATAACTATAACGATAACTATATTAGCGTTCACACCAGTGGACGATAACTATAACGATAACCAGCGTATCATTTACATTTAGAACGATTTTTAAAATTATATTTTTATCTTAATAGTTATTATCTATGGTGTCAAGGGGTCTTTAATTTTAATTCTGCATGTGTGATGTTTGAGGAACGAAGCAGACGCTTATCAGTGTGTGTGTGTGTGTGTGTGTGTGTGTGTGTGTGTGTGTGTGTTAGAGCTGTCCCAATGTGATCCAGGACATGTTCAACTCGAGCGCCCCGATGGTGTTGGGAGTGTTTCTAGGGACGGCAGGAATCATGGTGAGTCCATCTGAACACACACTGCAGTTTACATGCGCTCACATCCACACACACTGGAACCGTGTCCAGTACTGCACGCTGATCTGTGTGTGTTTGTCTGCATGTGTTCCCGCTCATCCCCAGATGTTGGCGCTGGTGTGCAGTGTGGTGTTCAGCAGACACATCTCACAGTCTCGCGCAGCTCCTACATACGTGCTCCTGACCAATCAGCCGTCAGTCCTGCATCCTCATGCTCATGTTCCTCACGCAGTGCCGCAGATATAACTGTCTCTCGCTCTCTCTCTCTCTCTCTCTCTCTCTCGCTCTGTCTCTGTCTGGCAGTTGGTGGCGCTGGTGTGCAGCTCTGTTCTCTATAAAAGTCTGAACTCGTCTGGCTACTCGACCCCAGCCTACTACTGAGAGCCAATCAGGTCCTCAACCACACCTGTGTGTGTATTTTTTTTCTTGGTTATTTGAACAGTCCATTTGATCATTTTGCAAACATTGTTTTAGCGGGGTAATGTAATGGTACATGCACTTTTTCAAGTTGATTTTACTGAAATGTGTGTTGGCAGTAAACACAGTTACTCTTGAATGTTTTCAAACGATCCGAAACGAGTAGCAATATTTTTAAAAAGTTAGACGAACAACCAAGTAAAATGTTACAGAAAAACATTCCATGAACAATGTACAGATCAACGCTTTTAGAACATTATTAAAGACCAGATAACTTTGAATGTACCTTCTATTAATGTTACAGGATGAACGTTTGTTATAGTTCTGAGAACGTTCCCTATTAGCTTCGCATGAACTCAACCTATTTACACATTTCATTTTTTTATTGCATTCCTTATTTTCTAAACTTTTAAGTTCTGAATTCTGCATAAACACCGTCTGTTACAATTCAGTCCTGAATATTTCATTTTCTTGCTTTGTTGTATACGATGAAAACATTAAAGAAATTTTCACAAACCCGTCTCAGTCGAGTGCATTTCATCAGATGTTGAGCTTGGATGGTGGTGAGAGGTCAAAGGTCAGAAGTCATCAAATCCGTGATGGAAGGGACTTGGGCACATGGAGCCGGTCTGCGAAGATCATGCAGTTCTCTGTGGGAGAGAGAGAACGAGATTAGATGTGGATCTGCCTTGAAGAGAAGAAAGTGTCCCAAACTTGCCAGATTGAAGGACTCCAATTATCCTCAACACATCATCACATTCATACGGAGGCATATTGCATTCACTTGAAGAAAAAAAATCTACTCTGTTTTTCTGAATTAATAAGTTAATTTTTCATGAGAAAAAAAATTTGCTCTGTTTTTCTGAATTAACGAGTGAATTTTTCATGAGAAAAAAAATTTGCTGTGTTTTTCTGAATTAATGAGTTAATTTTTAATGGAATTTTTTTTTGCTCTGTTTTTCTGAATTAATTAGTTAATTTAGAAAAACAGCAAAAATAAATTTTCTCATGAAAAATTAACTCGTTAATTCAGAAAAACAGAGTACATTTTTTTTCTTCAAGTGAATGCAATACGCCTCCGTACATTCACTTCAAACTGACAGAAAACATATATGCAGAATCTCACTTTTTCCTGCGATCAGCTGTGTGTGTGTATGTGTGTGCAGTACACGAGTGTGGCCACTAGAGAGCAGCAGCTCTGCTACATTCCCAGTCAGTGACGTCTCTGTATTTGTCACAACTAACATACTATATACACTACTACAGTATATACTTAGACTATTCACTCAATGCTGTGTACTATCTAGTGTATGAGGTTTATTTGGGGATCTCCTCATCCAGCACCAGAGACTCATAGCACTATGTAATTAAAACTGTGACAGTCGAGCACACTTCCTTTTGCCGGTTAATTAAGTGCATCATCCATATTAGTAGTGCACCTTTTATTGTTGGGATTTCCCGTCTAAACACATTAATCACACTATTTATACTACAAACCAGCCTGTGAACTGGGATGTACCTAGTGTGAAGGTTTCACACCGTTAGGGTTAGGGACACGTTCTTTCTTGAAAACATTTTAATTCAAGACAGATCCACATCTGTTGTATTTCATGGCGAATGATCTTCAACAAACAAACTACAGACATGACAAAGCAAACATTTAATCACTGAAATTGAATTGGTAAATTTTAATTGTCAACTTGGTATCATCTCTACACTGGTTACCTATTAAGTTCTGTATCAATTACAAAGTACTACTACTGACCTATAAAGCCCTAACTGGTTTAGCTCCTGTGTATTTAACGGATCTTCTATCGCTCTACAATCCACCGCGCTCTTTATTAAGGTACAGATCTTGCATAGTGTGTCTTTAATCTAGTTTTAAACAGCGAGTCAGAGCCTCGAACAATATCAGGAAGTGTATTCCAGAGTTTAGGAGCTAATGCGAGAACGGCCTCCCTCCTTTAGGGGACTTAGATATCCTAGGAATGACCAGAAGCCTCGAATTTAGTGATCAGCTTCAAAGTCGTTTCGGTGGTGAATAAAGTCATTGTAGGGCGAATCATTGGTAGTGAAGCTTGGGGGGGGGGGGGGGGACGCCGCCGAAAAAAAACAGCAATGCAAGTTTGAGAGCGTTACGGCAACGACGTCACACACATCAACAACAACATACGAAGCCACTTGTCTGTAAAGGTATGGGCATTATCCTCCTCTGCCCACCTCACCCCGGTGGTCCAAAACTCAAACCTGCCTGTTCTGGAGACTTTATCTCAATCCTGCCCCAGTGTGCGCTCCAGGCGGCCCATCTAGAATGATAATATTGTTATCATTATATTTATCAATACAGTCGTATTCATTCACAGGTTTTTAATTGTTGAAATTATTTCATGCAAGTTATTTGTGATTACATCTTGATTGCAGATTTGTCTAGCATCATCAATGCCAACCATGTGATATTAACTATTCATTGAAATAATAATAATATTATGATAATAATGATGATGCTATGCTTGAAACAGCCAGCAGTTGGACTGACCTCGGGAGGATGGAGGATGTGTGTGAAGCCCTTCATCTGTGGGACGGAGTGTGTGTGAGTGTGTGTGAGGGTGCGGCGGCTGGTGACTCATGTCGTGTTGGGTTGCCTGGCAACTGCAGTTGTTTTCTTCTAAGCTCAAGAAAAATATGAACGTCTGGATGTCATTCACAGACAGAGAGCCGTGTAGCTGTTCTTTCTATAAAACTGAATAAATAATCACTGCTGAATTATGCATATAATTATGAGATGAAGATGAACAGTAGTAACCTTTTATAAAGTTTTTGAATAGTAGATCAGGTTTCTTTACAAACAAAAGAAGAAAAAAAACACGTGTGTGAGATGGACGAGAGTGGTTTGAAAGCGTGTGTGTGTGTGTGTGTGCGTGTGTGAACATGCGAGTATGAGAACTGAAATATGGGAGCGTCCAAAACATTCCCTGGATCAGGATTTCAACACAAACACTCAATAAAAGCAGCATTTCTAGACACTGATGTCCCTCACACACTCACAGAAGGAGGAGAACATGTCACTCACATGCTTGAGGCAGGACTTTTTTGTTCTTGCACAAAGACATTATTGTGAACTGTGTGTGTGTGTGTGTTCTGGCGCTCAGGTGAGGTTATATCTGTCCTGCAGGTGAAATCTGGTTGGACAACATTTCTAAATTCTCTCATCTTTTCGTTAGGGTGTGTGTCTGTTACACAGGGTGTGTGTGTGTGTGTGTGTGTATTTACTCACTGAGAATCACAGAAACACATTTCACAACAAACCCACAGCAAAGACCGAGAACAACGTGAATAATTGAAGTGTTTTATGGACCCAGGCAACACATATCTCTTCCTCCAACATCTCACCAACTTATTCATAATCATATTATAAACTCTAAACTCTCAGTCAAACTCATCAGTACTGCTTAAATTACGCTATTTTTCATTATTTTAGGCAATACTGAAATCTTTTTCTAACTGTTCCTGAGGCTAACTGAACTCTAGAGACTCTCATTACAATAACATCTGTCAAACTGATTTCTGATGTCTATTTCTAATAAATGTTTTCGGACATATAAAGACATCTGAGCAGTTTCTCAGTAAACGTTTAGTTGGTCCTTATCCTGTTGGGCACTAAAACTATCAAATGAATCTGGTTTAATCCAACCATAACTGACAGCTTCAGGCATTCTGACCAGTTGAACTGAATGGCATCTAAAGCTCATTGAATCTGATCCACAATTATGATCATGCTTTTGTCCAGTTATTAGAGGATATGAGTGGCGAGTCTTGTGTCCTGATCCAGGATTTCTACTCAAACCTCTACTAAAGCTTCCAGTGTTGATGTGAGCGATGGAAGAGGGCGTAGACTCAATAAAGGACAATATTTACCAATGAATCACACACAGAGAACAGGGTTATGAGGAAAGTGTGTGTGTGTGAGAGAGAGAGCCAGTGATTGGTGTTATCAGTTTTCACAGAGCTGGGGGAAAAGGGCTTGTCAGGACCTTCCTAAACGCCACACCCTTTGAGAACGAGAAACACTACAGGAATGAGAGTGAGGGGGCGGAGCCAGGGGGAGGGGCCAGCTAGAGAGCGGCTGGTGGGATAGTTAAGCCTGAGGCTTTATTGTGTATTTTATCCTCAACAATTGTATTTAAATGTATATGAATTGCATCTGGCATGATTGTATATGTTGTTTATAAACATTGTTGAATAAATCAAATCAAATCATTCAGAGAATGGGCAGTAATGAGAATGAGGGGGCGGAGCCAGGGGGAGGGGCCAGCTAGAGAGCGGATGGTGGGATGGATCAGGGAATGGGGTGTGTGTGAGAGTGAGGGGCGGAGTCGGGGGCAGGGCCTGTTAGAGAGAGGCTGGTGGGATAGTTGAGGGTGATGGCAGTGATGAGAGTAAGGGGCGGAGCCAGGGGCGGGGCCTGTTAGAGAGAGGTGAGAGTAAAGACAGTAATGAGAGTAAGGGTCGGAGTCGGGGGCGGGGCCTGTTAGAGAGGCTGTGAAAGAGGTGAGGGTAAAGGCAGTGATGAGAGTAAGGGGCGGAGTCGGGAGCGGGGCCTGTTAGAGAGAGGTGAGGGTAAAGGAGTGAGGGGTGGAGTCGGGGGCGGGGCTGTTAGAGAGAGGCTGGTGAGAGAGGTGAGGGTAAAGGAGTGAGGGGTGGAGTCGGGGCGGGGCCTGTTAGAGAGAGGCTGGTGAGAGAGGTGAGGGTAAAGGAGTGAGGGGTGGAGTCGGGGGCGGGGCCTGTTAGAGAGGTTGGTGAGAGAGGTGAGGGTAAAGAAGTGAGGGGTGGAGTCGGGGGCGGGGCCTGTTAGAGAGAGGCTGGTGAGAGAGGTGAGGGTAAAGGAGTGAGGGGTGGAGTCAGGGGCGGGGCCTGTTAGAGAGAGGCTGGTGAGAGAGGTGAGGGTAAAGGAGTGAGGGGTGGAGTCGGGGGCGGGGCCTGTTAGAGAGAGGCTGGTGAGAGAGGTGAGGGTAAAGGAGTGAGGGGTGGAGTCAGGGGCGGGGCCTGTTAGAGAGAGGCTGGTGAGAGAGGTGAGGGTAAAGGAGTGAGGGGTGGAGTCAGGAGCGGGGCCTGTTAGAGAGAGGCTGGTGAGAGAGGTGAGGGTAAAGGAGTGAGGGGTGGAGTCGGGGGCGGGGCCTGTTTGAGAGAGGCTGGTGAGAGAGGTGAGGGTAAAGGAGTGAGGGGTGGAGTCAGGGGCGGGGCCTGTTAGAGAGAGGCTGGTGAGAGAGGTGAGGGTAAAGGAGTGAGGGGCGGAGTCGGGGGCGGGGCCTGTTAGAGAGAGGCTGGTGAGAGAGGTGAGGGTAAAGGAGTGAGGGGTGGAGTCGGGGGCGGGGCCTGTTAGAGAGAGGCTGGTGAGAGAGGTGAGGGTAAAGGAGTGAGGGGTGGAGTCGGGGGCGGGGCCTGTTAGAGAGAGGTGAGGGTAAAGGAGTGAGGGGTGGAGTCGGGGGCGGGCCTGTTAGAGAGAGGCTGGTGAGAGAGGTGAGGGTAAAGGAGTGAGGGGTGGAGTCAGGGGCGGGGCCTGTTAGAGAGAGGCTGGTGAGAGAGGTGAGGGTAAAGGAGTGAACGGTGGAGTCGGGGGCGGGGCCTGTTAGAGAGAGGCTGGTGAGAGAGGTGAGGGTAAAGGAGTGAGGGGCGGAGTCAGGGGCGGGGCCTGTTAGAGAGAGGCTGGTGAGAGAGGTGAGGGTAAAGGAGTGAGGGGCGGAGTCAGGGGGCGGCCTGTTAGAGAGAGGCTGGTGAGAGAGGTGAGGGTAAAGGAGTGAGGGTGGAGTCGGGGCGGGGCCTGTTAGAGAGAGGCTGGTGAGAGAGGTGAGGGTAAAGGAGTGAGGGGTGGAGTCGGGGGCGGGGCCTGTTTGAGAGAGGCTGGTGAGAGAGGTGAGGGTAAAGGAGTGAGGGGTGGAGTCAGGGGCGGGGCTGTTAGAGAGAGGCTGGTGAGAGAGGTGAGGGTAAAGGAGTGAGGGGTGGAGTCGGGGGCGGGGCCTGTTAGAGAGAGGCTGGTGAGAGAGGTGAGGGTAAAGGAGTGAGGGGTGGAGTCGGGGGCGGGGCCTGTTTGAGAGAGGCTGGTGAGAGAGGTGAGGGTAAAGGAGTGAGGGGTGGAGTCAGGGGCGGGGCCTGTTAGAGAGAGGCTGGTGAGAGAGGTGAGGGTAAAGGAGTGAGGGGCGGAGTCGGGGGCGGGGCCTGTTAGAGAGAGGTGAGGGTAAAGGAGTGAGGGGTGGAGTCAGGGGCGGGGCCTGTTAGAGAGAGGCTGGTGAGAGAGTTAGGCTAAAGATCTCCAGTCGACAGATCTGCTCTGGAAGTGTGCAGTTCCTCCAGTGATCATCCTTCTGTTATTCAGGTAAGATCTGAAACTCTTCTCAGTCTGTCTACTCCTCCGCTCGGGAGATCTGGGGGGATTCCAGGCTAGTTAAGAGTGTGTGTGTCATGCTGAGAGGAGTGTGTGTGAGCTGATGTTCTTCTGTGTGATAAATGGGGAATTCTTCTTGGGAAACGTGGGAATCGGAGCGCCTGAAGAGGAACAGATGGGAAAGAGGACGTACGCTTCTTTAAGGAGTGGCATTTCTGTGCAATGCTGAAGACATGTTTCAACCCATAGAGCTGTAACAACAGTTGATCCGCTCATTCATACCTGCTGAACACACACACACACACACCCTCTGAACAGGGCGGGTTCACACTGTGCTGCTGTTGAAATGTGCTGAGCCTAATCTCAGAGAGTTTCTGTGTGTGTGTTTCTGTCTTCAGTCATGTTGGTGTTACTCGCTGCCATCTTCGTCCTCCACCTCTGCTCCATCACTCTGCTGCTGGCCGCCACCATCCATAACGTGAGTTACACACACTCTTAATCTGCTTACTACATTAGATTTAGTTTAGTGAAATCCGTGCACTGATTCGGTGAATGACGTCTCTCTCGCTCCTGCTGATATAATGTGTGTGTGTGTGTGTGTAGGCCTGGTGGATGACCGACACTGTGTCCACTGATATCTGGGGTCGCTGGACTCTGGTAGGCGGACAGTGGAACTTCACTGAGATTCCTAACGTCAATGCCAAAGGTCTGAACACACACATATTCATCAGTTCAGTCATTGATCTGAGTCATCTCTCACACACACACACAATCACTCATTCCAGATGTGTTGCGAGTGTCTGGGACTTTGTTTTGTTGCAGTATTTGTAGACTTGAGCGTTTGTGCGTTTAGTAATATTCCCGAAGCTGGATCAGGTGTGTATGAAGAGCTGACGGACACGTGTTCGTAACGCTTCTAACGGCCGTCAGAGGTTTCGAGCTCATCAGGAGAATATCACAGAACCCAAAAAGCGTCCATATACTGTCAGAAATGTCCTACATGATTATTACATGATTCATGGGTTATTGCCAGTGTTGGGGAAAGTTACATTGAACTTACTTTTTATGGAAAGTAATGTTAAAGGTTACGCTGCGTTAATCTTCTCACCTGGGATGGGATTGTGTGTTGTTTCAAATAACAAAGAATCATTCTTCATGTAGTATTGGTGAACATAAACGCTGAAGGAAATGCAAAATCAGTCAGTAAATAGGAAAACAAAGTGACTTACTTATTTGAAAAAGTAACTGTGAATTTATAAGTAGCGTTACTTTACTTGTTACTAGAATAAAGTAACCTGATTACATAACTCGCATTACTCATAATGTGTTACACCCAACACTGGTTATTTAAAAAAATGCAGAAAAAAGTACTGAATGAATTAAAACTGAAAGATTGTCAACATGGAGCGCCTGAAGGAAGCGGTTTAACTGTAGCGCACACAGTGTTATTATGCGTAACCCATTACAAGTAACGTGTATTTTTGTAGTAATCTTTCAACAAAATATCTAAGTAACAAGAAAACATTAAGTACTCCTAAATTATTAAAAACAGTAAAATGAAATATCAGAATTTTATGCAAAACTTTTATAATTAACTGGATTACATGACACAAATATACTTTATGTATTTAATCTCACTTTATTAACCGATGTCTTTGCTACTGACCTTCAATGATCTAATTCAACCATAAATAAGCAAAAAGGACTTTAGATTTTGAAAGAAGTGTGTTGAACTTCTGTGTCCAGTATCCTATGGGCTATATGCGCACATCAGTTCTGCATTTGACCTCAGGATGCTCGTCTGTTTCCGGTTGTGGAGATTAAAGCGGAGGAAAGCAGAGGAAAACGGGATTATGGCAGAGTCTTCAATATTTACTGTCCTCCCGTCTTTGAAACAAAACTTTCATACATTTAGATGAAATTTTATATATAGTTATGTTTATTTAATATAATTTTAAAAAGAAGCATAAACACAACGAGGGGTGTCTGTTTTATCCGTTTTTGTGACTAACGTTTCTTTCGTATAACCATGGAATATAAAATTCAATATAAATTCTCGGTATTGCATTGGACTCTACGATCGAGCATCCTTACACCTTCACCGGACACACCGCCGTGCACAGAGCCCATTGATCTATAATCCAGAATAACAGCAGCAGCGCCCTCTGCTGTACAGGAGTAAATCGGCATTTCCTTCAGCCTGAGGCTTATTCACTTCACATCCGGTGTGAAAGGGCCTTAAAGGAGTAGTTCACTTTTGAAAAACTTTTGCTGATAATTTACTGGCCCCTATGTCATCCAAGATGTCCATGTCTTTCTTTCTTCAGTCGAAAAGAAATTAAGGTTTTTGATGAAAACATTCCAGGATTTTTCAATGGGGTCCAAACGGTTCAAGGTCCAAAAGACAGTTAATAACAGTTTCAGATGCAGCTTCAAATGTCTTTAAACGACACCAGACGATGAATAAGGGTCTTATCATGCGAAACGATCGCTTATTTCAAAACTTATTCCAAAAATGTAACTTTTCTAAGGACAAATGCTAGCCTTGCTCTATTCTGTGAGGCGCGTTTGTAACGTCACGTAATACGTAATTACGTTCAAAAGGTCACGGGCGACGTAGCCAGAAGTACAGAGTCAGTGTTTACAAGTTGAACGTGCAAACTAACTCAAACGCCGTTTACAAAAAAGGAATTAAAAGGTAAAACAACGATGTCGGACGACTTTGATTCTGTACTTCCGGCTACGTCGCCCGTGACCTTTTGAACGTAATTACGTATTGCGTGACGTTACAAACGCGCCTCACAGAATAGAGCAAGGCTAGCATTTGTCCTTAGAAAAGTTACATTTTTGGAATAAGTTTTGAAATAAGCGCTCGTTTCGCATGATAAGACCCTTATTCATCGTCTGGTGTCGTTTAAAGACATTTGAACAGTTTGCACTGAAACTGTCATTTGGACCTTGAACCGTTTGGTTCCCATTGAAGTCCATTATATGGAGAAAATCCTGGAATGTTTTCATCAAAAACCTTAATTTCTTTTCGACTGAGGAAAGAAAGACATGGACATCTTGGATGAAATGGGGGTGAGTAAATTATCAGCAAAAGTTTTTTTCAAAAGTGAACTAATCCTTTAACTTTTGCCAAAAACAAACAAGCAAGTTCAACCCAGGCGAGAAAACGTAACACAAGAGTAATGTAACGCAAGAGTAACGTAACGCAAGAGTAACGTAACGCAAGAGTAACGTAACGCAAGAGTAACGTAACGCAAGAGTAACGTAACGCAAGAGTAACGTAACGCAAGAGTAATGTAACGCAAGAGTAACGTAACGCAAGAGTAACGTAACGCAAGAGTAACGTAACGCAAGAGTAATGTAACGCAAGAGTAACGTAACACAAGAGTAACGTAACGCAAGAGTAATGTAACGCAAGAGTAATGTAACGCAAGAGTAATGTAACGCAAGAGTAACGTAACGCAAGAGTAACGTAACGCAAGAGTAATGTAACGCAAGAGTAATGTAACGCAAGAGTAACGTAACGCAAGAGTAACGTAACGCAAGAGTAATGTAACGCAAGAGTAACGTAACACAAGAGTAACGTAACGCAAGAGTAATGTAACGCAAGAGTAACGTAACGCAAGAGTAATGTAACGCAAGAGTAACGTAACGCAAGAGTAACGTAACGCAAGAGTAATGTAACGCAAGAGTAACGTAACGCAAGAGTAATGTAACGCAAGAGTAACGTAACACAAGAGTAACGTAACGCAAGAGTAACGTAACGCAAGAATAACGTAACGCAAGAGTAACGTAACGCATTACTTTCCTTAGAAAGGACTTTTTTTGGGAATGACACAATATTGTAATGCATCACTTTTAAACATAACTTTCCCCAACACTGCATGTTGATGTTTCAGCTCAGACACTCATGTGTGTGTGTGTGTGTGTGTGTTGATGTTTCAGAGTACCTGCAGGCGGTTCAGGCCAGCTCTGTGCTCGCGTGTATCTTCTGCATCCTGGGCCTGTTCGTGTTCGTGGCTCAGCTCTACACACTACCTAAAGGAAGACGCTTTCTGTTCACTGGAGTCTTCCAGCTGCTGGCCTGTGAGTGACACACACACACACACACACACACACACACACACACACACACACACACACTCACTCACACACACACACTCACACACACACACACACTCACACACACACACACACTCACTCACTGCTTGTGTTCCTCAGTTCTGTGCATCATGATCGCCGCCTCCATCTACACGGAGATCTTCCATAAGGGCGAGGAGAACGGCTGGTACGGAGCCTCCTTCATCCTGGCCTGGATCTCCGTCTGCCTCACCTTCCTCTCCTGCGTCACCTACTTCATCCTGCGCAAGAAAACTGCGTGAAGAACACACACACACACTCAAAGACTACATGACAACACACACACTCTCTCCACTGTTGTTCTCATCCTTCAGTCTCAGGCTGCGCTGCAGTGCTTCAGATGAATATAATCTTAGAGACACACATCACTCATCATCTCTCACATCAAGCCCCATACACACATGGGTGATTACCTCAAAACACTTGTGTGTGTTTCCATGTTAAAACATTCATCACGTGTCCTAACTAAAGATCTGATGCGGGATGCTTTAGTCACTTTAAGCATGTAATTGTTGGTCACTTCTATATGTGCAAAAACACTTCATCATAATTAATAAGACCCCTGATATAGAGACGTGTTGGCCAACTGTCCTGTTTTCATATAACAATATAACCGTACAGAGGAGGCATAACCTACTTTAAATGTATTGAAATTAATAAGGTATCTTTGAGTATCATTTGAGTCGGCCCATGTGTTTGCTGGGCCGAGTGTCCTGGTTTCTGGTAATCTAAATATGGTCATCCATGTTTGAACAACTATGACAAGTTTGGGAATCTTTAATCAATGCGATCCTAAAAACTGGACAATTAAATATAATTCTATCACTTTGTTTTCCATGTAATAATGTATATCTGTTGATATTTTGTGATGAAAGCAACTTTAGAGTCTAGTAATAATTAAAATATTGAGAGCAAATATCAATAAAGCACACAGTTTATTGTTTATTTACAGAATGAAGTGGAATGTCTTCCTCAATGACAGTGTGAATATTTACATCAAAACAAAACAATCACATACATTTCTATTTTCATGAAGAGTTCATTAAAGTTTGGGCATCCGAGTTGAAACCGTAAGTACTTAAATCAGTCCCCCCAGAAAAAGGCGATTATGCGATCGCTGAATTCAATGCAAAATCAGCCAAAGTCCGCATATTTATGCGGGGGCCGCATTTTTTCAAATACGCCGCACTTTCGCCGCATAAATTGCCGATTTCCGTGCAAAATATGCGGGGTTTGCATAATTTCATAATCCTCGCATTTTCGTTGCAAAAAAAGTCACATGTATCTTAGCAGAAAGTTGAAAAATGTTGCGTTTGCTTCACACAAGAGCAGCCATTTCCCCCTGTTTCCATGGGAACGTTATGAAGTGACGCAATTACGCGACGCCAGACAGACTCACGGAGGCGATTGAAATCTCACAAATCGAACTCGTATAACTGTCTGTCACACGTTCTACCGTCACATCGTTACTTAATAAACAACATAAGATAAAAGAAGTTGCATCAAACAGAAATTACCCGCACACATGGGGTGTTTGAGGCGCACATATAACACTGCAGAGAGTTCAACAGGGAGCGCGCAGCTCTTAAAGGGGCCACACCTTATTTACACTCGTTACAGCCTGAAATAAAACAAGATTAGTTTCCAGCACTTTCTATGATGTAGTATGCTTGCTTATCAAAGGAAGTAATAAGAAATGACTCTTACATTAGCCTAGTGAGAACAGGATGTTGGGGGAATCACTTTTTTCTCTTTTTCATCAAACCGCAATTTTTGCAAGTTCCCTCAATTTTTGCAAATTCCAGCAATTTCATCGCATAAAATTGCATAAATATCCCACATATTCCATCGCATTTTTAAAGAAAACGGGCCGCATAATCGATCAATTTTTGCCCGCAACAATCACAAAAAAAAACTCAGCGTTTTTCTGGAAGGACTGAATACTATTATGGTAAATGTTAAATGTAAATCGCAAATTTTTTCACAAATTTTTGGAAATTACCACCACAAAATCAGTCACCTGGAGGGACTGTTAAATAGATCAAAACAGGACAGATGAGCAGATCAGAGCGGGCTGAACTCCTCCGAACACTCCGACACAAAACTCAGAGGAGACAAAAGAGAGAGCGATGGGGAGAGAGGGGCGGGGCCAAGTGACAGTTGTGAGAGAGGGGCGTGGCATGGAGAGCGAGGGGCGGGGCCAAGTAACAGTTGTGGGAGAGGGGCGTGGCATGGAGAGCGAGGGGCGGGGCATGGTGAGCGAGGGGTGGGGCTGTGAGGGGCGGGGCATGACAGGATATGGGTGGGACCAAGTGAAAGTGTTGAGCGAGGGGCGGGGCATGGCGAGTGAGGGGCGGGGCAGGCCGGAGGGGGCGGCAGCAGAGCGCTGAAGTACGGAGACAGAGGCGAGAGCGACGGCGGCTGCTGGGGGAAGGTGAAGTTCCTGCAGGGGTAAAACACACTCCGGTTCTTCGGCCCCACCATCAGAAAGGTCTTGGTGTAGCTGTTGAGCGTGGACACGCCGGAGGACATGCAGCAGGTGAAGGCCACCCACGCCACACTGGCGAACACGAGACACGACGGCAGAGACAGAGCAAGAGACGGAGAGTCAGGGCTAGAATACATCACAACACTGCTATAATCTCAACTGATTTAAAAAATCGTCTTTTATTCTCAATAGTGCCGTATATCCGAGCGAAACGCTTCTGGCACAAGAACAAATGAAGGCGGGGCTTGATTGTGTCTGTGGCGAATTGATTGGATGGCTGTGGTTTGCTATTGGCTGATCTCATGTGAGTGACAGGTTATAGCCCCGCCCTCGTCTGTAAGTAAGTGTGAGTCAGTGTTATTTTGATTCAAGATTACCAGGATCATGACTTTAACACAGTGAATAAACACTTATTTAGAATAAACCCTTTATTCCATTAAACAAAAAACATTGCAAAACGAGTCTGGGTCAATCACAGCAATAAGCGTAAAGTGTGTGTGTGGTACTCACTAAAAGGCCCATGAGTATCTGTAACTGTGAGGTCTGAAGTCTTCAGGGCCGTTAGAGATCGTCACCTGGAACACCTGCATATACATCATGTGTGCCACCATCCCAACCAGCCCTGACACACACACACACACACACAGAGAGACGGTCAGATACACACAGCGAGTGTGTGTTTGTGTGATGGGTTTACGGTTGGGTTAGTGTGTGTGTGTGTACCTGCCAGGACCGTGCAGACGGCGGCGAAGGCGTTGAGTAAGTGAGCGCAGCGCTGCTGATGAGGAAACCAGTTCGACACACACAACTGGAGCATCAGGAGCAGAGAACTGACACACAACAGCCCCACATACAGCAGCTCCATCCCCACGTACAGACACACGATCCCTGCACACACACACACACACACACACACACACACAAGCGCTTCAGAATACATTTAGTCATTGTGTGCATGTGTGTGTGTGTATGTGTGAGATTGTGTGTGTGTGTGTGTGGTTACCTTTCTCAGATTCAGGAGTTAGGGCCATGAAACTGCGACACTTCTCGTCTGAAACACACAGGCATCATCATCATCATCATCATCATCATCATTCAACATTAAGACAGAAGTTTTACTGCAGAGAACATGATGGGCAAGAGGATTCCTTCAGAACACACACACACACACACACACACACACACACAGTGGTGTGTCGAGCTTCTCTCGGTGTCATGATCACTCGAGTCTCCACAGTGCTATTCATACGTCATTCATGTTTAAATGTTTTTAAACCTGCACATATTGAATGTTAAATTAAAAAATAAAGTGTTCATAACTTATGGATATCGTAGCCAAGCATGTTAGTGTTTAAGGGACACATCAGCTTACACACTCTCAGATCCTCCCTGTACACACACTACACACGCGGCGAAGGGTCACATGACTCAAGGCCCCGCCTCCCCCGGGTCACAGCACGTCAATCAAAGTTCACAACACCGATGAGATAATGAGCGCAACTATCCTTCAGTTCACGAGAGAGAAACAGCATGAGAGTGGACAGCGGGAACAGACGGGTGTGTGCATCTCTCTCTCTCTCTCTCTAATCAGCCGATCTCATGCGGCCACGGATCTATACCACGGATTTAGTACCGTTTATAAGCCAAAAATAGTTTTTCGCGTGCATATGATGTACATTTTTTGCTGTGTAAAACACACACACTCCACACCGCTAAGAGATTTACAGTGTGTTGCATATGCCCTAAAAAAAAAACCAAAAACATTTTTGGCGTATTTATAGCATGAGAAATTAAATTTTTGCTATAGATACACACTTTCGTGAGATTACGTTTGATAATACAAAGGGCAACGGGCACATTCATATGCGTGTGCACGACATGAAGCGCACACTTTCCAGTAAAGCATCTATGGGACCAGTTACCTGAACAGTATGGGCGTGATGGCGCTCCTCATTAGTCATTAGACACACATACTTTTAAAACAAGACAATGACTATCTGTCTCCAAGTCAGTTTAGTTACAACTCTGCAATAAAGCGAGATGGAAAGCAATCTACTGATATATTGCATTTAGAATATTGATTGGCAGGACATACTGGTCAAAATAGGATGCACATCTCTCAGTAAATAACCATCAAGTTTCAATTATTGCTTTTAGCATTTAAAACACAGCGACATTTAAAATGTGAATATAAATAAGTCTATTTCTGATATCAGGAATTATATTTTCATTAGTACTAACTAAACGAGGGAGGCCTGTAGTGGGATCACTGGGGTGACAGGTGTGACTGTGGCGATGGCGAATGGGTCAGGGGTCGGGGGTCATGGGTCAGGTAGGAGAGACTTGCTTAGGATCGGCTCTGCACGCTCTCTACATGTTCCCGAGTCACGAGACGTCGCTGAGAAACTCCCGTCTGCAGCTCAACGTGTGCCTCAGCTCTGATGAAGAAGAGTGTGTGTGTGTGTGTGTGTCTCATGAACTGAACCCGATGATCTGAGACGGGAAAGCAGTACACATGATCACATGATCAATGACACGCATTCTCCTGCATCTGATTCGTCACAAAGGATTAGAGCAGAATCTAAAACGAATCATATAAAGTTATCAGAGGCCTTTAACACTGCGATGTCTGACTCTCCGTCGGTTTATCCTGCGGCTGAAATAATCCTCTTTAGAGATCATCTCCAGTCTCTCGGCTCACACACTCGATCGAGCGCAGAACCAGAGCTGGTCTATCCGCCACTGAGGAGCGACACGTGCACTGGGGGACTTACAGCATACTGCGGGAAACACCCAGAAGAGCCTGAACCCCGCCTCTGAGCACTCACACCTTCCTGAGTTGATCAAATTCCCATTTTTTAAACGTTTTAAGAATGTTTTTTTTTCTTGGTTGTGGAAGTTAAGGGAACGTTCCTTTGTATCATTCTTCAAACATTGGGCACTGTTACTTTTGAAGGTTCTCTGAATGTTCTGAAACGAGTAGCTACATTTAAAAAATACTAACTGAAACGTTTCAGGGGGGAAAAGATGTATTATTAAAGACCAGGTCACTTTAAATGAACGCTGTATTGCCGTTACTGGAGGAACGTTTGTTCATAACTGAGAGAACGTTCTGAGAACGTGTTCAGAAATCTAAATGTTCTTGGTGTTACTGTGAATCATCATTACCAGTCTTACACTAATCTCGAATCCGCACGACTGAAACACACCAGAAACATCATGACTGTCTGAAGAACATCATCTCAAGGGTCTCGGGGTTGAGTTAACAAGAAACTGAACACCTCTTATGCGTTTTGGCCATTCATTTACACAACAACCGCCTGAACGTTTCAAAACAGTGATGTCATCAGTCTATAGGAGTGTTTTTGCAGATCGTTGTCATTTGTATGCAAAAGAAAAAAAATACAACTTCTCTGTTTTTAGTACATGGTTGTGGTGTAAACTAAAAATCCCTTAGTGTAATGCCCACAAACCCTTCGTGAAGTGCCCGGATGGAGATCCTGTATCAGAAGTAGAAGTAGCAACGGATCACAAAATTCACCGTTAGGATCATTTACGTTTTTTGAGGCACGGGTCGGATCAGAATTTTTTTTAAATATAAAGCTCACTTGAAGTTCTTCGATGCTACATCAAAAACTACTAGCCTAACTGCTGAAGTTCACATATTATTAAAACAAGTGGACAGTCTGTTATAAAACAAGAACAAATACACAAATGCACAAGCAGAGATGGATACTAAATAAACTTACAAAGTCTAACAGTAGTAATCAGGTACAAAAATAATTAAGCTGAAATGTAAAATAACACTACTTGTTCACTGTAGAAATTAAATACAGTTTTATCTTTGTTAAAGCTGAATTTTGTTGTTTTATTTACATTAATGACAGACGAGAGAAGGAACATTAGGCTGTTGCCCCTTTAAGACAGAATGCATAGACCGTATATACTAACAAACATCCGGTTTCTTCCTCAACTGTTCACTTACGACATAATCTAGAGATTACTTGGCAAGAAGGGTATTTAGACATCATTTTGTGTGCATGTGTCCTATCAAGGACACACGAAAGAGGAATCATTCTGTGTTCCAGCGCTATCAGAATTTATAAATTGGCAAGACAAAACACGTCCAAATGATGGCTAAATTTAGCAGTTAATTTACGAACTGCGGGACAGCTGATCCGTACAGATCACGAACACCTGCGATCCGTTGCACCCCTAATCACGAGCACTGAGAGAAATAAGAGTGGTCTGTCACCAAAGGCGTCGGTGAAGATGTTCTCCTGGCAGGTGGTCCAGAGCCCCGCATGGAAGGTGGGGAAGATGAAGCTATCGTCGCCAGTCTCCCAGGAGAAGGAGCCGTCCATCACGCCAGACACCGGGGTGCACTTGAGGCGGCGGGCGGGCGAGCACAGCGGCTTGGGCACCTTCTGCTGGCCCACGCACCAGTACGAGGAGGAGAGCGAGAGCAGCGACAGCAGCAGAGACAGCAGTGTCTGCAGGAAGGAGAGGCGCGGAGAGCGCAGGAGCGAGAGCACTGACATGCTGTGGACACAGAGAGAGAGAGAGAGATCACAGACATGCTGTGGACACAGAGAGAGAGTCCCACGGAGGAGCTCTCGAAGGGTAAAGGAGGAGAGACGACAGGGGAAGGACCCGAGTCCCACGGAGGAGCTCTGGAAGGGTTAAAGGGGGAGAGACGACAGGGGAAGGACGCGAGTCCCACGGAGGAGCTCCGGAAGGGTAAAGGAGGAGACACGACAGGGGAAGGACCCGAGTCCCACAGAGGAGCTCCGGAAGGGTAAAGGAGGAGAGACGACAGGGAAGGACCCGAGTCCCACGGAGGAGCTCTGGAAGGGTAAAGGGGGAGAGACGACAGGGAAGGACCCGAGTCCCACGGAGGAGCTCCGGAAGGGTAAAGGAGGAGAGACGACAGGGAAGGACCCGAGTCCCACAGAGGAGCTCCGGAAGGGTAAGAGAGGAGAGACGACAGGGAAGGACCCGAGTCCCACGGAGGAGCTCCGGAAGGGTAAAGGAGGAGAGACGACAGGGAAGGTCCCGAGTCCAACGGAGGAGCTCCGGAAGGGTAAAGGAGGAGAGACGACAGGGGAAGGACCCGAGTCCCACGGAGGAGCTCCGGAAGGGTAAAGGAGGAGAGACGACAGGGGAAGGTCCCGAGTCCCACGGAGGAGCTCCGGAAGGGTAAAGGAGGAGAGACGACAGGGGAAGGACCCGAGTCCCACGGAGGAGCTCCGGAAGGGTAAAGGGGAGAGACGACAGGGGAAGGTCCCGAGTCCCACGGAGGAGCTCCGGAAGGGTAAAGGAGGAGAGACGACAGGGAAGGACCCGAGTCCCACAGAGGAGCTCCGGAAGGGTAAAGCAGGAGAGACGACAGGGGAAGGTCCCGAGTCCCACGGAGGAGCTCCGGAAGGGTAAAGGGGAGAGACGACAGGGGAAGGTCCCGAGTCCCACGGAGGAGCTCCGGAAGGGTAAAGGGGGAGAGACGACAGGGGAAGGTCCCGAGTCCCACGGAGGAGCTCCGGAAGGGTAAAGGAGGAGAGACGACAGGGGAAGGACCCGAGTCCCACAGAGGAGCTCCGGAAGGGTAAAGCAGGAGAGACGACAGGGGAAGGTCCCGAGTCCCACGGAGGAGCTCCGGAAGGGTAAAGCAGGAGAGACGACAGGGGAAGGACCCGAGTCCCACGGAGGAGCTCCGGAAGGGTAAAGCAGGAGAGACGACAGGGGAAGGACCCGAGTCCCACGGAGGAGCTCCGGAAGGGTAAAGCAGGAGAGACGACAGGGGAAGGTCCCGAGTCCCACAGAGGAGCTCCGGAAGGGTAAAGGAGGAGAGACGACAGGGGAAGGACCCGAGTCCCACGGAGGAGCTCCGGAAGGGTAAAGCAGGAGAGACGACAGGGGAAGGACCCGAGTCCCACGGAGGAGCTCCGGAAGGGTAAAGCAGGAGAGACGACAGGGGAAGGACCCGAGTCCCACAGAGGAGCTCCGGAAGGGTAAAGGAGGAGAGACGACAGGGGAAGGACCCGAGTCCCACGGAGGAGCTCCGGAAGGGTAAAGGAGGAGAGACGACAGGGGAAGGACCCGAGTCCCACGGAGGAGCTCCGGAAGGGTAAAGCAGGAGAGACGACAGGGGAAGGACCCGAGTCCCACGGAGGAGCTCCGGAAGGGTAAAGCAGGAGAGACGACAGGGGAAGGACCCGAGTCCCACAGAGGAGCTCCGGAAGGGTAAAGGAGGAGAGACGACAGGGGAAGGACCCGAGTCCCACGGAGGAGCTCCGGAAGGGTAAAGGAGGAGAGACGACAGGGGAAGGACCCGAGTCCCACGGAGGAGCTCCGGAAGGGTAAAGGAGGAGAGACGACAGGGGAAGGACCCGAGTCCCACGGAGGAGCTCCGGAAGGGTAAAGGAGGAGAGACGACAGGGGAAGGACCCGAGTCCCACGGAGGAGCTCTGGAAGGGTAAAGCAGGAGAGACGACAGGGAAGGACGCGAGTCCCACGGAGGAGCTCCGGAAGGGTAAAGGAGGAGAGACGACAGGGGAAGGACCCGAGTCCCACAGAGGAGCTCCGGAAGGGTAAAGGAGGAGAGACGACAGGGGAAGGACCCGAGTCCCACGGAGGAGCTCCGGAAGGGTAAAGCAGGAGAGACGACAGGGGAAGGACCCGAGTCCCAAGGAGGAGCTCCGGAAGGGTAAAGGAGGAGAGACGACAGGGGAAGGACCCGAGTCCTTTTGAGATGTATGACATTCCATCATATAAGCAAAGTCCACCGTGATGACAATGGGTTTGGTTTAATTTCTACACTCATTTCATTTCTTTGTCATCTAATATCTATTCTTGGACATTTTTGTCTTGTTTTAGCTTAGACGTCTTTTAAACATGAAATTGCTTGCAGGGTCCTTACCTGAGCCTTGAACATTATTACAAACTATTTCCATACACTCAGATTTATACTTTGTGCCTCCTATATGAACACATCTCACCTTATCTGCACTATTGGGTGAGTTTGCAGCATTGGGAGAACGGGTTGTTACACTTAGGAAACCCTGTCCATGGAACACTGCTGGGTCACGCTTAATGAAAGCTGCTGAAAGCCAAGACAAAACATCTGGTGTAACGGTTCATAGGCTTACTTACACTCAACAACAGTCTGGCTATCAATCTAGGAAGGATTATTATTCAGATTCAGAAATTGTCGGTGATACTGCACTTCATCCTGTTATCAAACATCTTAAACCAGCTAAGCATATCGTTACCTTATCTGCTGATCAGTGCAATACAGTTCTTAATTATTCACCGGTAAGATTGAGGACACAATTCCGATACTCAGTCTTTAACACAAACTTTTCTAACTTTGAAATGATTAGAATTGACTCTATTGTGAGAACAGCAAAGTCCATGAACTCTTCCAACAGATCACTTCCCTGTTCAGTTATTCAGAACTATCTCGTGTCAATTCGTCCTCATATAACATCACTTGTGACAGTTCTGGATCTGTTCCTTCAGAATTGGAAATAGCTGCCATTACACTTTCCACTCTGGCTGGGACTGGGGCACAGTACAGAGACCGCTCCAGAGAGCGCCGTACACCATGGTGCACAAGCTTGGTGTCATTTATAATCCTCAGCTAATATTTGATGCACATTCAAAACATCTCAAAGATCGCCCTCTATCATCTTAGGAACATTTCACGACCATTTTTCTCCTCTTTGCCGATGCAGAAGGTCTCATACGTGCCTCCATCGGGTCTAGGTTCGTGTGCTAACCCGTTCTGCTCTCCGGGAACATCACCGTTGCACTGGCACTGATTATAACATTACATGGGACAGCACCAGCGTATCTTCATGATCTTATTAGTCCATACACTCGTTATCTGTTCTGACAACTCTCTTTTACTTCATCAGCCGCATGTAAACTCAAGAGCTTTTCCAATTAAAGCCCCAAGATATGGAGTTCGGTTCAATATGCTTAAGATGCATCTATTCAAGGTTGTCTTTAATTTATGTATTGTTTTATTCTCTACTTGTTGTGTTTGTTTGTTTTTATTTCACTGGGTTAAATAAAGTGCATTACAAATGCATTATTGTTGTTATTATTATACCTAAAACACCTAATCATTCGGTTTACAATCTAAAAAGCCAACGCAAGACACATAGGGGTCACACAGAAGGGTTACACAGAACAGAATAAAGAATGAAAGGACAAATGAAAGAACTGAATGAACTGAAATAAATTAAAGAACTAATTAACAAAGATGAACAAGAATAAAATAATATTTTTTAATGATAGAAACAAAAGAAAAAAAAAGAAAAATGAAAGATAAAAAAGCATTGCAAATCAGACTCACCTTATTAAAGCGAATGGTGGATCTCCGTCCTTCAGATGTGTCTCACACACACACACATTTCAGAAACAGTGAAATATGACATCCAGCATCTCTGAATGACACACACACAGGATTAACCTGAGCTTTAATCTGTCAATCTGTTCAAGATCAGCGACACACACTCACACTGACACAATGAACGCACACACACACACACACACACACACACACACACAGACACAATAAACTTCAATCAGCTCTAATACACACAAACACTGACACAACGAACTTAAATCTGTTCTAACACACACACACACACACACACGCACACAAACATGATGAACTTCAAATCAGCTCACACACACACACACACACACACACACACACACAGTCGTAATGTGATCATTTCACATTGAGGCAGAATTTAAAGAATGTTGAGTCAAATGCAGCACTAAGATCGAGTAACAAAAGTTATTCCATGATGAACACTTACTTGACGAATGGCTTCAGAGGTGCCGTAAATGACAACGCTGATGACATAAAAATACACACAAAAAATTAAGAACACAGACAAAGATATGTTAGAGAAAAGGGCAGATTGTCCACTCATATTTCAAAGAAGTGTTTGTTAAAGTGCCATAAACCATGAGCCGAACCAGCCAGCTACAACGAGTCACAACATTAGAAACTGAGATTAGATTGTCTTTTTGTCTGATTTAGAAATACTAAAGGTAGTGAGGGACAGAACAATGAGTTATCCCATGAGTTATTGTGAACCGCATAATCAAATTTAAAATTATATATACACACACACACACAGTCAAACCAAAATCTATTCAAGACATCTTCAACATTTCTCACAATATCACAATTTATTCGCTATAGTTTATAAAATGGTGCTAAACATGAGCAGAACTCAGTTCTCAGATCAGTGGATATGTGACCTTCTGTTGGACTCTCACACATGAATTATGTTGAATATCTGATGTTAAATATCTGTTCAATTTACCTACACAATTAGAGAATACCAGTTTAGCTCAACCAGTGACCAAGACCAAGCAATGCGAATGTTGTTCAGTGTGTGTGTGTAAAAAGAGCTTTAGCACTTACAGAACACACACTTCTGCAGAACATCATCAGCTCAAAGTGTCCGAATCATTTTTGGTCCCAGATGTTGTATAAGAAAATGTGGGTATAATATGTAAGTTTCCTTTATTTTGCTCTCCTTACTCACACTAATTACTAAACGAACTAAATTAACTATAGTATCCCACACCCTCTAGTACAAACATATAAAAACATATCTGGTGTCTGAATAATGTTTGGTTTGACTGTACACACACACACATATATATATTCCTCTGATTGGTATTTTCAGTAGAGCCTTCTGGGTGATGTAGTTTCCCATCACAAATTCCACTGTTAATCATGATTATTTATAAGTTAGTCTGATGGACCAATCGTAGCTCACAGTAGGCCCGTCTCTAGAGGCTAATAAGTTATTAGTGCAAATCTACTTCAAAATCTCCATTTCAATGAGTTTCCCAGAGAGTTGACGAGTTTGGGCAGGTTATTCTACGCATTCGGCCGGATCAGAAACAGCAGAAGTGAAGCATTGTGAACAGACACACACACACACACACAGCAGCTCTCCGTTGTATAACTGTATTCATGAGTCAGAAGCATATTGACAGTTTTCTAGTACATGTTGTTTTCATATGGTGAGTGTTTTCTTTGCGTTCTTGTTTTCAGGAGTCTTGTTTAGAAAAACGACAGCGATTGTTCTGGAGATGGAGATCTGCACTGCTTTCCCTCAAAACGCTGCAGGAATGTTAGTCTCGACCCGAGTAACTCACGAGTCCTTTACCTCTCATCCTAACGCTCTCCCAACTCTGAAAAATAACGCAATGTCCATTTGCTTCTCCTTTCTCTCGTCTAGAGCACAAAACCCTTGGAGGTGGAAAATAAGAACACTTATCAAAGGAGCAAAGATAGACACGAACAAGCAAACTCTCTCACACACACACACACACACACAGGCACACCTTCGAAGGCAATATATGTGCATCTCCATGACAACAATGTCTCTGTGGCAACTGGACTTCCGCTCCACGTGATGTCACGAGTATGATGTCATAACAGGTCGACATTCTGGTCCTCCTGATACGGACATTCAGTCTAAAATACTGATTAAAACAATAGTGATGTTTAAAATAATGATAATATGAGTTATGATATAAAATACTACATATAACTGGTGTAAATACACTGCCTCTCTCTTGCCCTGCCCACATGGTCCCCTTCCCTCCTTCAGTTCTCTTGTTCCCAATGCGGAGCTTCAACGAACTAACAAAGATAAAGGATGACAACAGCGGACTCAAAAGTCAAACATTGCGAACTGAAGTTCTGTTTTGAAAGGCAGTAAGCGTTACTTCATCTCCATCTTCTGCTCTGTCCTCTCCACAAGGGGTTGTTCACCACAGAACAGGCGATGAATGGAAAAACTCTCAGTTATTAGTGTTCTTTAGAGAAAGTCTTTACATTCCAAAATGTGTCCGTCGGTAGCCATGGTAACTCCGATCTCGAAGCATGAAGGCGTTCCCACTTCAGCTGAACTCACACAGTCAGGAATCTCCGTCTCTGCTGGGAAGCACAGGCACAGGTCAACGACGGCACAGGCTAACAGACCTAGCGCAACTCTGGGTCCACTCACGTCTGATCTGTGCGCGATTCGTGTGGTGTGTGTTCATCCTCTCTCTGACTGCTCCAGGTACACGGCTCCAGGCTTGGCGATTCTGTTGCTCTATAGAAACAGAACGCATATGTGCACAGATACACTGGGAAACACATTTATAGACACACTGAAGAAATAACTGTAGATAAAAATGGAATAAATTAAGTCATGGGAATGAATACTTAAGCCGTGGCCACCATGTGACTAAAACAAGGGAAGGAATCAGCAAGTCGTGGCCACAACTTCACTAAAACGAGGGAACGAATTAAGTTGTGGGATACAATTCTTAATTTGTGGCAACTATTTAACTAAAATGAGTAAAATTGACCACATTTCCATTGTGAAGTCTTGTTCTCTGACCTTGTGCTTTGGACACCTCAGAGAAAAGTTGTCTTCATTTAGGGAACAATCTGTAAAAAAACAGATTAGCACTGAATGTCAGTCCCTCATGTGCATTTTGTCTTGAATAAAACCAAGTGCAGCCCAAAGTGATGCCACATCTCACCTGCTTCTATGGCACAAAGGTAGTGGTACCTCAGGGTGCAGCCTTTACTGTAGCAGCCCAGGGTGGAGCCCACCATCTCACAATGGGAGCAGCTCTGAGCAGTGGGATTAATCACAAGAAAGGAGGAACTAATATTAACAACATGTCAATGTTACAGCAATAAGCCACATATTAAAAACAAGCGGCAGAACTTTCTACTCACGGTGTCTCTAGCACCATCTAGCGCCTCCTGAAGGCCATACAGTCTCCCGTTCACCAGGTATACGCCACTGGTCCACACGATGCAGCCCTCGTGCACCCACAGCTCCTCTGGGTCTAGAGGCACTAGTGGGAGCTGGGTAAGTTGGGCCATGGGGCCCAGAGAGTCCAGGCTGGGTGGGGGAGGCTGGAAGGGCAGGGAGGCTTTGCTGTTGATGGGAACAGTTCGAGGTAAATCCTCACTGGACTTGTGTCTTCTTTTGAAGCGTGGATGGGATGTGAGTTTTCTGTGCTGGGGCCTCTGTTGTGAATTCTCGACATGCAACTGCTTCAGCAAGAGTTCACTATTCAGATCTTGTACATTTGATGTACCCAGCCCACTCAGTTCAGCAGCCGGATTCCAGGTGTGAGCAGTTACCATTACTGTGGAGCTGCTGGTTATAGCAGTGTGGAAAGCCATTTCTTCACCCATGCTGGGAAAGACAGTACCAATGGGGGTGGCTGGGGATGTTAAGTTTGTTGCCTGACTGACTGTGCAATCGCTACCAACATATGACTTGACATTCTGCGAGTCTTGTAAACTTGTATCCTGGGGAGTCGAGTCTGTCGGAATGGATGTCATACTGGAAACTGTGGTGGCAGCCCCATGGTAGGACAAGGTTTGTCGGACTTGAGGTGGATTCTTCGGGAGCTTGGCTGCATATTCGGCTGGGTAAAAAGGACCATAGAGATCCCCGAGATGCTTGTAGTTGGCCCATTTCTGGCAAAGACAGCATAGGAGGCGACCAGTGTGTCCAGTCTCTGATATCACAGGCCCTGACAGAACATATCCAGATGTAGGAAGTATCTTCCCGGATTGCAAGGCAGAATCAACTTGCTCTGAAACCCAATTTTCTTTTGTTCTTTCATTTTCCTTTTCTTTTCTCACAAGCTGAGATGACAGCGGGGTATTTAACAGGACATCAGCCCCTAAGTGGCCAGCTTTGCCTCCACCTTTTGATTTTTCATCCTCGGCATTAATAATTGTACAGACTGCCCCAATCTCTTCAACCTTTTTCTCCACATGTACGTAAGGAGCGAAAACATTATTTCTGGTATCTGGGAATATTCCACAAAGGGTCATGCTTCCCCTACCGCTCGTTTGAAGGTCAACCTCCTCTTTGGGAGCCATTCCTCTCCTCCTTCTCTGATTGCCACTTGTACCAGCAGTCTCGTTGCCCTCTTTCCCCTTTCTCTGTTTATGTTTAGCAGGCTTCAAATCTAACTCTGGCTGGGTCTCTTCACACTCTACATCCTCCTTCACCACCTGGGTTTCAGCAGGAGGGACTAAAGGTGGACAGGGTATCTGGTCAGGTGGTGTTGGTTCTTGGGACACTTCATCTGGTGTGTTTGGGACTGGGACAGGCTGAGGTACAGCTGTAGGTGAGGGAAGAGGAGAGGAGGGTATGCTTGTTGCTGCATTCTGAATTTGTGCTTGGGCACGTTTCTGCTTATTCACACTGCCTACTGGGCGACCCTTTTTCTTCCCTGATGGGAAATACCCTTTGGGCACCATGTTATCTGACAGTTTAGACTCAGAACATGTCAACCCGAGAGAATTCATCTGGTGCTGAGAAGCTCTGGACAGAAGGTGGTGCCCAGGGCTCTGGCCAGTGGTGGCCCCATAGTAATCCCCACCTGGGTAATCATCAAAGCCCATGCCAGTCTCTTGCAGTTTCTGCCTAAGCAGGTTAGCAGCTGACTGCTCGCTTCGCCGGGTTTCCAGCTGTTGATAAGTGTTTGTGAACTGCTGTATGTCAGACAATGCAGATGAAGATGGAGGAGGGGATCCCTGTACAGGACAAGGTAGTGGAGGAGCTGGTGGAAGGGGTCCTAACAAAGTAAAATCATCCTTATTTTCACCCACCAAAGACCCTGAAGAACCAGCAGCACCTAATCCAAAGTCAAAATCTTTAGGCAACCTTCTGAGGGCACAACTGCGAGAAGCTGTTGAACCTGGTTTGAGAGACTGGGGATCACAAGAGAAGGCATCTTCAACTGCTCTGTATGGCATGAGATCCTCTAAAGTATGAGAATCATCTAGGTAAGATAAACAGGCCTCTTCTCCTTGTGGAGCACCAGCGAACAACGTGCCACCCTCAGGGTCAGGCATGTCCGAGGTGTAATGAGATACTTCCAAGAAGTCAGATTCCACATGACTGTTGTTGAAGTCATTTTTTTTCACACTTGGAGTAATTTTCTGCACGATTGCCTCAAGTTTCAGACCCCGACCCTTTCTTGGGGGAAGAAACTTTGCTTTGGACTGAGGAGGTGAGTTTGCACTGGATATAGAATGCGGAGTCTTGGGAGAATGCAATTTTGGCTGAGTATCAGTACTGCTAGAACAATTGTTGATTGCATGTCTAGAATCAGAGTGGGACTGAGATAATGGGGAGTGATAAGCTGATCCTGGCCGCTGACCTGGAACATCCTGATGCTGCCTCTTAGCTGGAATAGGAGAAATAAAAGATCGAACTCTCCTTCTCATGATTAAAGGGTTGGTTTCAGCCGATGCTCCAGTTTTGGTTAGTCTCTGCCCCTGCTGAATCCCTTGGATAGCCTTAGCAGTGTGCCCAGCCGGGCTAATAGCACCAGCTGAAGCCACTGAGTGGAAAGATTTGGCAGTGTCTTCTGCGCTCTTATCTGAGATGTCCTCTTCTTTAAGTTTAGGGCCAGCATTTGTAACTTTTTGAGAAATAGCATGCTCACGAGGCATTGCAGTCGGTGGTTGTCCAGGACCATCTCTTTCAGAATAAGCATCCCATATTTTCATGTCAAAGTGTGAACGGAGATAAGAGTGCTGCCGAGATATGTGATGCTGACTAGGCAGAATAGCACTTGAGGATTGGGATTTACACTTCTGTTCAGGGAGTCTCTGAGGAACGTGCTTGTCCATACCTCTTAGCCTTTGCCTGTCAGGAGTCCAGTCGGGTCTGTCTTGAGGGGGTAAGCTCTGTGGAAACGCTTGTAACTTGCTAGTAGAGGGTGTGGTTTTAGAATATGCTGATATGGTGTGGAATGGTTGATGAGTTATAGGATGGGAGACCATTTTTTGTCCATCTATGGTGTCACTGAAGCCATATGCTCGGAAACGATCAACTACCTGTGAAAATGACTGGTGTCTTGGTGGTGAGGACAAAGGATTCGAGGACATTTGCGAAATATATGGCACGTTGCTGGTGGCTTCATTGTTGCCTTTGGCACTGCTGGGTTTTTCTAAATCAGAAATAACATCTACAGGGGAATGAAGGGGCTTGTTACACTCCTTACTGTGTGGCGTGCTGCAGTAACCATCTGTGTTCTGGCCTGCAGCTTCAATCTTTGACGAGTCCTCCTTGTTTTGTGCTTTCTTTGCTTTTATTTCTTCCTTGCAACATTCTTGACCGTTTGATCCAGAAGAGGAAAATGGCTGCTGAATGACTGAGGGTCCAGTGGCCCCAGAGTGTCCCCTCTCTCTTTCTGGTGTTGTTCGTCGAGAAGGAGACACATCGCAGATTACCGAGCGCCTTCCTGAGGACGTGGATGTCTGAGATTGAGTGTGACTGATAGGACCACATGCCAGTGGCTCAGCTTCCTGTAAAAGCAGTTGTTCCACAGCAGAAGGAGAGGGACCATACCTGGAGGGTTTTCTGTGCTGCAAAGAATAGTCAGCCAAATTAATGTGCTTTGGAGGGGCTCCTGTTGTGAGATCTAAAGACTGCTGCATGTGGGTGGACTGGCTTGGAGACAGATTGGTTTTGCCTTTTTCTAAGGAGATCCCATGAGTCACGTTGGGCTTATGTGCTTCAGAATCCCAAGAGGGATGAGGAGGACCTAAAACTATCTCATTATCTGATCCCTGATTTTGGCTTGTATTCGGTTGTTTTCCAGAGGCCATTTGACTGAACTGGACATTAAGTCCACCCATAATTGTCTGAGAGCTCATTGCAGGTGAACTCAAATTTTCAACCATACCGCAAGGTAGTCTAGTTTGATAACGGTGCTGGGATGGATCTTGAGGTTGTTGATGAACACTTGCTGTCTGGTCAGGACGTCCATAGCGTCGATCTAAGTGATGACCTTGGAGGACTTCTTGCAAAAGACTTGGAAACGATTGCTGAAACTGGGAACTGCTATCCTGACTTCTTGAGACGATCCCTCTCCCCCCCTCCAAAGCAAAAACACCAATCTCCTTTCTAGCAATAGACCCATAGCTGGCCTGCAGCTGATGATAATTCTGGCTTCTATTTGCACCCATAGCACTGCCTAGTCCCAACTTTCCCTTGCTCTTTGTAGAATTGAAATGTACTTCAGGATTACTGTATTTAAATGAGACTGGGTGAGATTGAATAGAGGGGATGTTTTGGCCAAATTCTTGTTTAGGGGAAATATCATATTGTGAGACATATGTGTCCATGCACACTTCCCCTTCTCCATTGTGATTTCTTGTCTCTCTTAAGACATTGACATCATGTCGCTCCTCAGGATTGCTGTGTTTGTTTGGGTAATGAGAAACAACATAACGTGGAGATTTGGCTCCCGTGTGCTTGCTTGATTCATTGTTCGGTTCAGAACGAGCAGAGACAATAACCCCAACACCTCCAACATTATGTTGCTCTGAAACATTCACAGTTTTACTTGGATTTTCAAAATGTTGTGCATCTGTCTCCGCTTCATCCTGTGTGGTAGAGACCGACAGTCTATTCTCTGAATTTTCTCTATCACAGGGAGGATCTGCACTTTCAGCTTCGCTTTCTTCATCTTTTATCATTTTGATCATTCTTCCCTTATCATTAATTCCAGGGTCTCGTTTTTCTGCACAGTTCGGATGTGCTGAGGGCACGGGAGATGCTGGAGCAGGGGGATGTAACTGTTGTTTTGGGCTGTGTTCTGCAGGAGGATGAACTGATGGTGGTGAAGAGGAGGAGGGCGTCAGGGTTTCTGGTGTCTTTGTTTGAGACTCTCTAGTAGATAACTGTTTTGAAGCTGTTGAAATGCCTCTAGGGTTGACCTGGAGATCCAATGCCTGTTCTGATGACATCTGACTCTGTGATGATGGGTAGCTCTGTGGCTCAGATTCATTGCTTGTTCCGCTTGCTTGCCTAATTCTCTTGTATTCCAATTGCTGATGCCCTTTTGTTTCCAGCATCTCAGAACTCTCTTCATTCGCTGAGGTCTGACCACTGGCACTGGCAGTCCCAGGTTTGTTTTGGTTGCCCGGTAAAGACTGAGATCCCTGCTGCATCTGAAGGTGATGTGCATTGTCTCTGCTCTTCCTCTGAGGCAGCACAGTGTCTGTTAGCAGCATGTGCTGCACTGTATTAGGTAGATTTTCCACTTGAGAGGTCAGAGCATTTAGACTATTTAGACCAGGGTCCTGCAAGAGTTTTTCATGAGGATACAGGGCGCCATCTTCCCCTGGACCGCCTCGATGACCTAGTCCTAGTCGGTTCTGACTCATGGAAGCGTGACCGATCCCTGCGCTGTGGTTCAAACCAGCCACTTTAGTTCCTACACCGCTGCCACAACTACTAATACTGCTATTTGAATTGGGAGTGGGGCTCAGCTGAGGTACGGCCTGCAGAAGGCGTCCATGGCTTTGACTGATGCGAGTGTTTGAAACAGAGGGGTGTGATGGAGTCTGCATATGCGTAGCTGCACTATTAGCCTCTGAACTCCCCATTAGTGGAGACGAAGAGGAGCTGCAGCTTGGAGACTGTACAGCAGATGGAGCAGGGGAGGGATTAGATATGGGACTGAAATTCTGATGAATGTGAGCCTGTTGACTTTGGGAATGCATAGGAGATTTGGTGAGGTCTTGAGGGGGTTGTGAAGGCAGAGCAGGGCTAGAGGAGACCGATGAATGGGGCAGTTTGGACTGCAGGTTTCCCTGGTGCTGCATTTTGAGGGAAGCTTCATAACCTGCTCCAGTGCTGTGCTGAGAGCTACGCTGGGAACTGGGAGCGTGCTTGTGAAGGGACTGAGATTGGGGCGAATATGGAGGATGAGCAGACGACGAGTAGCTTTGTCCCATATTCTCACAGCTGTTTGAAGCAGATGAACTTGTGTGAGTGTTTGGATTAGACTGACTGGGCGAGTTGTTCATTTTGGCATCCGTACTGCTGTTGCTGATCACGTCGTATCTTAGCGGTGGAGAGTTGTACATTCCAGTAGAGTCTGAGGTTGCATTAATTGGGGCGTAGTGTCCGAACTGAGGGGGCATTCTGTTTCCAGAAAGCGGGTACGTCCGGTGATGCTGACCTTGGTGTAATCCTTGATGTGAGGGGTATTTCGGGCCATGCTGGCGTTGATGCATTTGAGCACCTGATTGTACTGAAGTAGAATGAGCCATACTGTATTGCTGGGAAGGAGAAAACGAACCAGCGCTGCCACTATTACTACTCCCAACTGCAGAGCCACTGCTGGAGCCATACTCCATAGAGTAGGGAGAAATCATTCCAGAGGACGACCCTGAACCAGACAAGTGCGGGTACTGATGAGGTACATGTCCATCTAGGTTCGTGTACCTAAATCCCGCACCATACGCCGCGCCGCCTCTCCTGCTTCTTTCTCGCCCACTCACTGAGAAGTAATAATCCACACTGTCTTTACGGTAAGAGTTCCCTCCACCTCCTCCACTGTGAGTGTTTCCCTGCGCCATCTCTCCAGCTGCTCTCCTGGCCCCATAGCCGTGCACAGCAGGAGCGTGTAGCAGATGCTGTTGGCTCCGCAGGTGCAGGAGCTGCCCGTGACTCTGCAGGTTAGGTTGAGCTTGCTGCATGGCGTAGTCTTCGGAGGTTCTGGGGGACACCTGAAGGTCTGAAGAGTGGGCCGGATATGGGGAACTGACAACACTTCCTCCCCGGCTAAACCCTGGATGAACAGGGACTGGACTATTGGGAAAATTCTGCATTTTTGTGGTTTAGACTTTTGCAAAATCTGTTATTTGTAACCTTTCCTACGATAAGGATCCAAATGGCAAACTGGAATGTTTATTATTAACTTTGCATTTAAAGAAACCAAGATACATATGTAGCAGCAATGCCCCAGCAAATGTCTGCTAAGCAAAATTGAGATTTGAGCTAAATTTGCTGCTCGAGTTAAAAAGTAAATGGTAAACAATGTGAAGATGGGAAATGCAGCAGCAGCAGCAATTCATTCACAAAAATGGTGTCACGATTGCCACTGTGGCTTGGCACTAGATCCAAATAGCTCAGATAAATGAAAGATTAGTATTGTCACAAAATGTAAAAATTCTCCACCAAAATTACAACTCAGTTACGTTTCATTGCGAGAATGTCAATATCGCGATACTGTAGTGCGATAAGTCTCTTTGCCGTTTGGTAACTGTGCAAATGGTTGTGGGTAGCAGCCATGCAGTCGGATTATACGAGTTCATCAACTGGTTTGCAACAAAAAAAGAGAAAATATTACTCCAGTTGGCACATGTATTCACCGACACTGAAAATAGCTTGAGAAAGATCAATACTTCAAGATCATGATTTTTTTTCATATTTCCTGTGTAACGGGGATTTTCTGCACTCTCTCAAGTATTGTTTCAGTAAGGTCTTTGCCAACAAATATTTTCCAGCTGCTTCCAAACATTTTTCCTTTTCCATGTTAATTCCACTCCAGCAGGATTGTTGTTTTGTTTCTTTGCTCGTCCAATCCTTACAGTACGGTGTTTTTCAGCCTAGCTTGTCCTAGCTTCAGGTTTTCCATAGTCAGTAACATGCCATCCAGTCGCTCGTTTCATCCGATCCTTTCAGTGTGATAGTGTCTTGCTCTCTCTCTCTCTTGAAACAGGAAACTTGTGAGGGTCTGAAAACACAGGAAAACACAGCTTATTTCAATGTAAATATTTGCTTTAGTGCTACACTCATATTTATAACCAAATAACCCAAGTGTAGAGTGGGGATGCACCGATACGGATACCAGTATGGGTATCGGGCCCAATCCTGCACTCATGTACTCGTACTACTACTCAAAAGTAAATGTATCCAATTAGTGGAATCTTGAACAAAATATAGCCTAGTAAAGCCTATCTGGCGTACACAAGCTGATAAGAGAAAGACGATGATGGCGTTCACATGCGCACTAAGAATTGTTTCTATAGTTATGTGCATTTGAATTAGGGGTGTAACGATAGACCCAAAACTGACGGTTCGGTTTTCCCACAGTTTTGACGTCTCGGTTCGGTTTAGAAAGCTAAAATTGCTAATTTACACAGTTGTCAATTCATGAAAGATATTTTAAACATACATTAAATAATCAAGATATCATTAACAGGTTAAGTAAAATATAGGCTAACATAGTGCATTTATTTAGTGCAAGAGTTAATTTAGGAACCAAAGTTGTGGACACTGAATCACTTGCCTGCTGAGGTAAATATAATGCTAGTGACAAGCTACGCTGTTAGTTTTATTGACGACTTTCCGCTGCTGAAACACCGATTGAGCGATTACACGAGTTATGACGCTCTTTGAGAGCCAGATTTTGAATTTTGTGATCAAATAGACAGAATTTGAAAGATTACACCTTGCTTATTATCCAGAGTAACAAAGCGCGGAGCTTGTTATTTGGTGTTAATGGTGGTTAGGCTACAAAACTGAATTCGTTGTGTAAGGTACTCCTAAGACATGAGGTCCATTGAGCCGGGCGGGGCGGGGCCGGGGTAGCTGGGGGCGGGGCTGTTCGGTACACAATGAGAGTATCGCGATTCGAATCGAATTTTTTGGTTCGGTTCGAATATTGTTACACCCCTAGTTTGAATATGTGCTTTATAATTCTCTACATGGGGTTTATAATTCTCTACAATGCCTGAACAAAACTACTTGTCCTGTCTGTAAATTTGATACAGAATTTTGTTTTATTTTATCACTTCGGGGTAGGGACGCGAAACGTGTGTGTGTGTGGGGGGGGGGGGTATTGTGTGTGTGAATATTGTGTGTGGGGGGCGGTATTGTGTGTGTGTGTAGAATTTGTGTGTGGATATTTGTGGGGGGATAGTGTGTATGTGAATACTACATGCACCTTTAAAGTGTTGTATAGTCACACAGCTGGCTGGGCCTCAATACAGATTCACTTCACATCTGCAATCCGGATTATCTCTATCAATGATCAATGTTTCATAATCGTGTCCAATAAACAGCGTTCAGTGTGCAGACAGTGTTTCCCAGCACTGATTCAGGATCAGAAACACACAACACAGAAACAACTCAGAAACACACAGACGACTCCAAAACACACATGACTCTGAAACAGCACACACAACTCAGTAAAACACAACCTTTAGAAACACACAACTCAGTAAAACACAACCTTAAGAAACACACAACTCAGTAAAACACAACCTTAAGAAACACACAACACAGAAACAACTCAGAAACACACAGACGACTCCAAAACACACATGACTCTGAAACAGCACACACAACTCAGTAAAACACAACCTTTAGAAACACACAACTCAGTAAAACACACAACTCAGTAAAACACAACCTTTAGAAACACACAACCGGCTCATATTCCTTCACATCTCGGAGGAATCTGTTTAGAGACATGTGATCTCCCAGCATGCACTGGGCCAGAACGGTCACATGACACACGGCACAACACTCCCAACACATTCACTGCCAGCAACAGTTTACAGTTACAGTCATAAGAAACTGAATTCCAGACACAATTCCTGATAAAACTGCACATAGAACTATAAACATTGACTTGACTAGAAACCTTCAACATAAAAGCTTGGTTTCTGTATAGTGCAATGTGCTTCCCTAAGTATTATAAAAATAAGAATTATTATTGAATAAGAATAATAATTAACATTCAATTGTGTTAAATATGTATTAAATCATAAAACATACAGAAACAGAATTTGTGTGTGTGTGTGTGTGTGTGAGGGTACAATGGATCTCATGTGAAAATAAAAGACTTCATAGGGCCATATTACTGTTAAATTGAATAAATCATTAGTTTGATTTAATTCAATAGCCTCTATGCACGATCGCTTCCGGGTTCGTCTCAGCGCGCCCAGTCACATCCGGTGCTGCATCGTCAGTCTACGGTCAGAAGCCGGTTTTGCGTCAGCTGGAGATAGTGTCAAATTACACTTGCTGTTTATAAAAACGTCCTGCGGTTAACGTGAATGATGTCAACAACACTGTGAGGCCGTTAGCGGTAAAAAATATTAGCGGTAAAAAAAGAGTAAAAAAGAGAAGTTATTTGAATTCGAGCTACATCAACAACTTTGAGGGTTAGTATTCTCTCATATCATACGAAATTCGACTAGCGAATCAGCGTCTCTAAAATCGTTGTCTCCGTTTCTGAGAAAATTAATTTTATTAAAGTTTTGCCGCTATTGGCCTGCAGAACGCGCTTCCGGAAGTAAAGACATTGACTGAGAATCTTTCGGACTCTTATGGTGCGTCTTTATTATACTTAATCACTATGTACGTTTGCGCACACTTCAAAAGTTAAATTTCAGTCAAACTAAACGAAACTGTAACGATCACTATAACCACAACTGTAACGATTAGGACCCTATGATTTCCACGATCACGGAATCGCGGACAGGATTGCGGAATTGGCAAATTAACGTGGAATCGAGGGGTGGGAATCGCTAGGCACCTCACGATTCGATTACGATTCAGAGGGCTGCGATTCGATTCTAAATCAATTATCTGAATCTTTGTGTGTGTGACTATAAATACTTTGCTTTAAAAGTACAAAGTAACTAACGAACAATATATTTTATTAACATTGCAAAGAACAAACAGGAAAATAAATGTGTGCCTGAACTTATGCAGTCTTTTTCTATATGCAGATGATTCTGCGCTGATTGTTTCTCACAAGGATAAGAATATGATTGAAAGCATACTTAGCACAGAACTTCTAAAGGTTAGGATGTTAGGATCGGGTGTCTCAGATGCAGCTGGGTATGGTACATAAAATTGTTTATGGAGATGTTCCCAAATATTTTAGAAATTATTTTAATAGAGTAAACGAAGTTCACAGGTACTCCACTAGGGGTAGCTCAACTGATTTTGTACCCCCAGATTTAATACAACAGTCTCTTCTTTATGTTGGAGCTACCCTTTGAAATCGGTTACCTGGTACACTCAAGACAGTAAGAAGTATAGGTAATTTTACACAAGGTCTGAAAGTATGGTTTAGGGGACAATTGTAGTTTTTATAATACCATAGTTTATTTTTTCTAAATAATATGTATGAAGTTTGTTAATGTATGTGAATGATTGATGTCTGATGTGTTGACACTTGTCTTCTTCCGCTGCCTTTATAAGGGACCGAAATGGAAATAAGTCTTCGGGCTTTATTGTGTTATCCCTGACTACTTTTGTATTTGATTTTAATGTATGAAACAGTTTCACACTGTTTTCATATTTTTGTATTTAAGTGGTCAAAATCAATCAATCAATCAATCAATCAACTAGCAGCATACTTGTAGTAAATTAATAATATAACAACGACAGGTACAGCGGAATGTTTTTCCTCCCCTGGGTGGAAACGCGTCATACGGCTTCTCATATTTGTCGTGTTTCCCAAATATTTTAGTTTTATTCTACAAAGCTGACAGCTAGTGTGGCTCTTGACTGTCCAGCTCCTTTCCCCCTTCAACTTCAGAAGCCAAAATATTTCCACACGTCAGCTTTTACCGAGCGTGTTTGGATCTCGCACGCCACAGACGGTCCGGCCACTGCACTTCCGCGCTTCAGAGTTCCGTCTTTTGCGTTCCGTCAATATTACGTTATTATAAATATGTCTAAAGTTTATTTATTTATTTATCAATTTTTGACATTTGTGAATCGGTTCAGAATCGTCCACATCGCGATGCATCTAAGAATCGATTCCCCCCCCCCCACCCCTAGCGGAATCTGGTGTTAACGCGGAAATTTACATATTTGGTTTGAAATTCTGTTTTTGATATAATTGTAATTTGACCATCGGGTGTGGATACTTAAATCAGAGAAGATGATTGGGGCAGGTCACGGCTGGATGATTTGCATTTGGCTGCGGATTCGGGCGACGTTGAGCTCATCCGCTCACTCTACAGCAGTCAGACTCTGCAGGCGCTAACAGCTCGCGGTGAAACGGCTAACGTGCTTTGTCAAGTTCAGGGACGCGAACACATGTATGGTCAAAAACGAGAGAGGTAATCGAAGCCCTCACTCGCAGAAAATATCAAGATTTCCACAGCACAGGATATGAGGGCAAAAACAGTATACACGCGCGGCCCCTTAACGAGCTACCTCCAATCAGTGGAAGAAACACATCCTCTGCAGGTCCAGTAGTTTCTACAAGAAGCTCGTTCAACACGCACAAGCGAACAAACACCCATCTATAAAGAGAACGAACAGTCCTGCACCTGAGGCTGAAGTGATAAACATTGAAAATATGCAAAGGTCTTATTACATTTCTCTAACTCCGACGACCAGGGTTGTGTTTCGATTCTACACTTCAACTGATCGTAGAGCGATTACGCCAGCTTCAGCTTGCGATACTTTTGGGGAACGCAGAGACGATCCTCTCTTCCTCTCGTAGATCTGTCGACTCGATCTCAGTTTAACGATGCAGAAGCGTGACTCGCGAACATGGGCGCTAGCTTACATTAGCGCAGTAAGGCGTGAATCATTTAACTAAATAACTGCTCGACTTGGACTAACAGCCGCTGTTCGATGCTCGATTTTTAATCAAATTTCAATTCGATATATGCATAGATTTGGTCATAGATTTTAAATTATGCAAACATTGAATTGAAATTTTATTAAAAAAATCAAGAATCGCAGATAAAAAGAGATTCGCAGCCCTACCGCACTCCAGGGTGAGCACACGTTTCCCAGCATGCCTCTGGATCAGACGCACGTCACCCATCCAAGTTGTTTAATTAGCAGAGTCTTAATGAGGCTCTTTAATGGCATCATTAGTCATGTTGACACGTGTCTGTCTCACACAATACCTGTTGTGTGTGTGTGTGTGTGTGAGAGAGTGCGTTTATGTGTGGGTTTCTCTCACACAATACCTGTGAGTTTATGAGTCTGTTAACCAGTGAGTGTGTGTATGATCTGCTAACCAGTGTGCGTCATCCGCTAACTAACCTGTGTGTGTAATAATGTTTGTAATGCGTAATGTTTGTGTATAATAATGTGTGTGAGTGTTTGTGTAACGTGAGTAATGCGTGTGTGTAATCATTTGTGTGTGTGATTAATGCCATTTTGTTTCAGGACTAGTTTGCTGTAATTTGACATCTGTCATTATCTGAGGTTTTTTTTCCAGGCTGAAATAATAACAATAACAACAACAAAGATGATGACGATGATGATGATGATGATAAGGAGTTTGCAGTGACACTATCACTGTGTGTGTATGTGTGTGTTCATTAGATAAAATCAGAATCTGGAATTAATGAGGGACCTCCGACATGATATTGACGGAATCATCTAGAACCAAACCTCCTCCATTCTGGTCTATTCTGCTGGTTTCTCACAGCACATTAGCATTAGCTCTTTAGCATGGCTCGGATTCGCGCACAAACACCGAATAAACGCGTTCAATCCGCAGATTTATGAACGCGTCAGAGGAGCGAGCCAGACACACATCGACGCTCGCGTTCCCTGGGTATAAACGCGTTCCTGAGGCGAATCGCGAACGAGCGGATCACTGATGCTGCAAACACACAACAACGCCACAGTAAACACACACACACACAGAGAGAGATGTCAGATAATGTGGTGTTTTTACCGGACAGGCCCGTCTGATGTCCCCGAGCTCGAGTCCCGTGCTCCCCCGCTCCCCCTGCACCGATCCGCGGCTGCCGCGCCGAGCTCACCCGCCTCACGGAACCGACCGGGCCTCGAACTCCACCGACACGGAGTCGCTAACGTTTTTTTCTCTTTTGTCTTTCTCTTTCTCGCGTCAGGAACAGCGAGAGGAGCTCGAGCGGTCCACGCGCGCCCCCCCCCTCACGCGCGCACCGCATACATCACGCACGCGTCTGACGCGCACATCTGAGGAATCACATCATCACACTCACACACAAACGACGCTTTACCTGGAGCCTTTCTTTGCATAAAAGGGTCTTTATAGTGGAGAAAGGTTATTAAAATGTGCTGACCGCTGAAGAAAATGTTTACTGTTCTTGTGGGACCTGAAATGGTTCTTCCATGCTGATAAACACCTTTATTTGTAAGAGTTTTCAGTCATGATGGTGAATATCTCGGTTGTTTGGATGAGAACAGTTATTACTAATGTGTCAGTCAAACAAGTTCTTAGATTTACACTAGCGCGCTAAAGTATTTACGAGCCGATTAATAAACACAGAACCGTATCTGAGTGAAAAACGCTTCTGAAAGAACATGATCAAATGTGGGCGGGGCTTGATTGTGTCTGTGTGGAATTGATTATATGGTTGTGGTTTGCTATTGGCTGATCTCATGTGAGTGACAGGTTGCCCCACCTTCGTCATCAGAGAAGAGAACAGATGCTGCGAGAGGAACTTATTCTGAATCAATACTTCCCACACCCACTGCAAAATTCCACGAAATAAAGCATTGAGCCCCGTAAGCGTGATTTACAGTGAGTGAGGAAAAGCTAAGGGGCGTGGTTAGGCGACGAGGAAGGGTAAACCCTCTTAGCTGTTTTAAATGCACTGTAAAACACGACTTATTGCTTTTATAAAACAGTTACTCCATCAAAATATTAATTTAAACATTTATTTTATTCATAAAATAAACACCAGCAACAATAAAATATAACGTTATAACATTTTTATTCCTCCGCCAAGCAATGTAGTTCCAAAGAGGTTGCCAAGCAACACATGATGCAGCAACAAAACATCACCAACGGCAGTTGAGCAGTAACACTAATGTGATGCGGTCACAGGTGTGTGTTAGTGGAGTCATTTAAAGGCTGGCTCAACCAATCAGAATCAAGGATCTGAACTATCCGTTTTATTAAAGAAACCCGATATTTCTGATGTCATGTGACTCTGTGTTCGGCTATGATTGGCCGAGTGAATAGCGCGCCCTGTCGATCACTCGATCAAAGTAACCGTTGATTAATAATGCGTGCTCCTGCATCGACTCTAGCGCGCTTCGCCGCGGTTGCCGTAACAACTTAAAGCCACACGCTCACGCTCACACACACACACACACACACACATCAGTGAATATAAACACAACCTGTGTTCCCGTCAGACTATTCCCGCGCTGTTGCACTTCCGCCGCTCGCCACGCGAGGGCAGCGCGACGCCACAGTCTCTCTTTCTCTCTCTCTCTCTCAATTCAATTCAATTCAAATTGCTTTATTGGCATGACTGTACATATTACAATATTGCCAAAGCTTGTAACACATAGCATAGTGAAGACATCAATAAAAACAAAGTATTATAACAACTTAAATTGAAATGTACAAATTAAATTAATTGCAAAAAATAACAGTGTAACAGATTATAAATTCTATGAACGTTTGATACTCTCTCTCTCTCTCTCTCTCTCTCTCTCTCTCTCTCTCTCTCTCTCTCTCTCTCTCTCTCACACACACACACACACACACACAGATTCAGTTACTGGAGAAGATGGAATAACGCTGAAGAACACTGTATATGAATAACGTCGCTGAAGAACACTGTATAACACTGAAGAACACATAACACTGCTATAGCTATAGTCTACCCAAGTACCGGCATTTCTGAACGGGCTGAGGATTCAGTTTATGGATTTGGTGAGTTTGAAGTGAAAGTAACTTATGTGATGAGAGTATACTGAGAGCATTCACTCAATATTAGTATCTCATTACTTTTAGAGGCTTTTGCACCGGAGGTCTTCATGAACACAACCTATTGTTCATACACACTCTGAACACACACACTAGGCGTCGCTCACACTATTAATTTGCGGGTGGGATATTGTCCCCAACACTTTTTTAAATAACATCTCCCGACACGATGTAAAATAAATACAACATCTCCTTTTAACTAGCAGACATAGCTGTCAACATTGAACACTGAAAATAAGGGAGTTTTCCCGGAATCCATCCCCAAAATAAGGGATTTTTTTTTACACGATTCTTACCCACAAACTTTAAAAATAAAGCACTAATCCTTAAAAGTCTAAAGAGTTAATAACTAGCCTAGAAACTAGTGTCATTTAAAGAAAAAAAATCTACATTTGGATTAGCGGTGTGTTGCTCTTGCCTTTGCGACAACAATTTCAACTGTTATCACATCTTCCAAAACCCACAAAATAGGGAAGTGGGCTGTCTGTTTATTTCAATTACATTTACACATTTTATGTAGTTTTAAAGAGCCTATATTTAGCCTGGTGGTGGACCGTCACTCAGAAGACACACTGTTGTTATTGTAGCGTATCTTTATATCCTCCTGAGGCCCAGAACGTTTTTTTTCCAAAAGTTTTTTCTTCTTCTTTGTGTAGGCTAATCATTGTTAAGAGCATAAGAAACAAATAAAAAAAAAAGAAAAGATATTTTATTCATATGTTATATGACCTTAAATTATATATAGGCAAAACTAATTGCAATATAAATCGATTATTAATTATTATTTGTTTAAATTACATTGATATCTGAATTTATGTAAAAACCTTGACTTTCAAACATCAAAATGTAAAATGTAGGCTATTCGAGTACAAAATGACATATAAACATCGTTTCCTATTTTTTATTTATTTATTTGCCTGGAAACGCTTTCAACACGCTTGCATGTCGCTTGAAAAAATAGGCGTCAGTTCTATTTCTAGCATGCACGCGTTTTCTGGAGACGCGCGTGTCACGCAGGCAGTGGGTAAGCTCTAATCTGTTAACATGGGAGCCGAAATAAAAACGGACACGCCACACAGCCAGTGTGTCTCCGGCCAGCGCGCGCGGCGCCGCATCCGAGGATAAACGACTTCAAGCCGAATCAGCCCGAGCTCGAACGTCTCACACAATCATAGTAAAAAAACGGGATATTTTACGGGAAGATACTAAAACGGGAAGACAGCGGGAAAAGAGCAAAAATACGTGAGAAACCCGGAAAAAACGGGAGGGTTGACAGCTATGAGCAGAGCATTAATTTTGTTAATAATAGGCGTTATAGCGCTGAAATGTGTTGAGAGAACTGTGCTTCATTCATTTGTTCCGGTGAAATATTTATAAATAGGCCTACGATATTCATAAGAAATCACAAAACATAATGCACACAAAGGTGTCCCTGATGGATACACAACCACTGATGAACATATGCGGTTTAGATGAGAGAAAAAAGCTACATGAGTGTGTAACCCAGAACCTTTGCCCCGCTTGAGTGAGTGTTATGTGTGTGTGTGTGTGTGTGTGTGTGTGTGTGTGTGTGAGAGAGAGAGAGAGAGAGAGAGAGAGAGAGAGAGAGAGAGAGAGAGAGTGAGTGAGTGTCCTGCAGTTCTCTGGTCGTCCTGCAGAGGTCAGTGTTGTACAGTTAGTATCCCTCACGCATCGCGCGCTCCCGTTGCATAGCAACCGCTCCAGGAGGGACCAGTATCGGCATCTCGCGCGTTCAGAGGCTCATATCTAGTCTTCAGTGAAACACACACACACACACAGACTGAGCTAGTGTTGCCATGGCAACCGCTCACTCCAGCATTCACTCATTTACATCTGGAGGTGAATTACTTACTGCACTCATCGAGTGGACTCTCGGCCCAGAATACATTGAGAACTCAACATGTGTGTTATGTAAGGTTTGAGCCAGCAGAGAGTGTGCATTGATCTCAGTCTGTTCTAAGAAAAGTGTTAGATATAAAGAAATAAATGTGTTGTTCACACTGCACTTAACCCGAGTTATCCTGTGTCACACTGGTTACAGCGCTTTAACCCCAGGTTATCCTGTGTCACACTGGTTACAGCGCTTTAACCCTGGGTTATCCTGTGTCACACTGGTCACAGCGCTTTAACCCCGGGTTATCCCATGTCACACTGGTTACAGCACTTTAACCCCAGGTTATCCCATGTCACACTGGTTACAGCATGTAAACCCCAAGTTATCCTGTGTCACATTGGTTACAGCGCTTTAACCCTGGGTTATCCTGTGTCACACTGGTTACAGCACTTAAACCCCAAGTTATCCTGTGTCACACTGGTTACAGCGCTTTAACCCCAGGTTATCCTGTGTCACACTGGTTAGAGCACTTTAAACCCAAGTTATCCTGTGTCACACTGGTTACAGCGTTTTAACCCCAGGTTATCCTGTGTCACACTGGTTACAGCACTTAAACCCCAAGTTATCCTGTGTCACACTGGTTACAGCGTTTTAACCCCAGGTTATCCTGTGTCACACTAGTTACAGCACTTAAACCCCAAGTTATCCTGTGTCACACTGGTTACAGCACTTAAACCCCAAGTTATCCTGTGTCACACTGGTTACAGCACTTAAACCCCAAGTTATCCTGTGTCACACTGGTTACAGCGCTTTAACCCCAGGTTATCCTGTGTCACACTGGTTACAGCGTTTTAACCCCAGGTTATCCTGTGTCACACTGGTTACAGCGTTTTAACCCCAGGTTATCCTGTGTCACACTGGTTACAGCACTTAAACCCCAAGTTATCCTGTGTCACACTGGTTACAGCACTTAAACCCCAAGTTATCCGGTGTCACACTGGTTACACCACTTAAACCCCAAGTTATCCTGTGTCACACTGGTTACAGCGCTTTAACCCTGGGTTATCCTGTGTCACACTGGTTACAGCGCTTTAACCCTGGGTTATCCCATGTCACACTGGTTACAGCGCTTTAACCCCAGGTTATCCTGTGTCACACTGGTTACAGCGCTTTAACCCTGGGTTATCCTGTGTCACACTGGTCACAGCGCTTTAACCCCGGGTTATCCCATGTCACACTGGTTACAGCACTTTAACCCCAGGTTATCCCATGTCACACTGGTTACAGCATGTAAACCCCAAGTTATCCTGTGTCACATTGGTTACAGCGCTTTAACCCTGGGTTATCCCGTGTCACACTGGTTACAGCACT